AAACAGCCTCCATGAAGAGAGGTCCTTCTGCCAGATCAGACTCTTCAAGTGAAGTATCCAACATTCATCCACATGTAAGTAAATAACGCCTTTATTTGCATGATTGGAATTCAGCTTTTCGGCATACTGTTTAATGCTTCGGTTTTTAAAAGGAAGAATAATGACTAGAGGGTTTTTTTAAGTCTTGCATATTTTAACAAGGAATGAAACCTTTAAGATTTTTGTACCCTGTGTTTGGTATATGTTTTTATAGTAGTTTTATGTATTTTATTTTATATAGTTAATGTTCATATGTTTTGACTCAGTTGTACATCACCTTGAGTTGTGAGGAGAGGTGGGTAATAATACTTATTACAGTATCCAGAGAAGAACAATATTTTTTACGACTGGAGTTCTCATGGCGATAAAAGGCCCAACTGCAACAATATTTTGTAATTACTTCCCAGATGTCTTCATATGGAGGATCTGCATTCACAGCAGATGTGACTGAATCAAAGAGCTCAACTGGTCTCCCAAATGAGCATCCTGGAAATTCACCTCAACTGTTGAAATCGATTTTTGTCAAGAATGTTGGCTGGGCTTCTCAGGTGAGTTGATGTGCAACCAAGTGAAAAAGTCATAACTGGACAAGGTGCTTTAGTTTTGGTGCTCTAGTTTTCATGCTTCTTCTAAAGAGTAATTTATAATATGGTGTGTGGTGGATGTATGTGGGGTGATTCCTGTACCTAGACTACTTTCTTAATCTTCATCATTGGCAAAGCAAGAAGGAGGTACTGGAAGAATGCTAAACCTGGTTAACTTCTGTATTTCAAATTGGAATATGTCCAATAAGGAAAATATTGATAGACTAAACAAAATGCTAAATATGTTGCTGAAACAAAAACTTACTAAAAGTTTGCCAAGATTAAATAACAGGTAAACACTCTTATGTTGCATGATTGTCAGGCAGAGATAAGAGGATGTGAAATGAATCAATATAATATATATGCTCTCCCTATAGTTTTAGCCTGGGTCCTGGAGCCATATTCTTGCTGTGAAATCAGTTTATAGAACACCTAAATTAGGCCAGAACTTCCTCTTCATGATGTGATCTTTATGTAACAGTATTATCTGTCCTTGTTAATAAACTTCAGCAAAAATAAACCATGTGTAAGGAGTTTTTAAAAAATATTCAGTGCATGAATTGATCAATGACATTTTTCCCTTGCCAGCTAACTAGTGGAGCTGTGTGGGTTCAATTCAATGACGGGTCCCAGTTGGTAGCTCAGGCTGGCATTTCATCCATCACATACACATCTCCAACAGGTGACACAGTCAAGTGAGTACCAGACTTAATATTGGTTCTCTGTGTTTCAGAGGGTTTGTAATTGTGTAAATCTATAGGGCTGTAGTTATCTGTTATTCAAACAGATAAGACTCTTTTCTAATTACTGGGGGCAAGTGCTCCTGCTCAGAACTCTAAACTTTCTGAAATATTGCTTATCTCATTCTATTAAATCTACTTACCAGAAATTTTTATTATTTCCTAGGTATGGTGAAAATGAGAAATTGCCAGAGTACATCAAAGAGAAATTACATTGTTTGTCTTCCATTCTGGTGATGTTTGCCAATCCGGTTGGCCCTCACTGACATTGTTTTGATACAGAGCCTTTTTAGAAAGCTTAATGTGAAATACAGTGAAAAATCAAAGAAGCAGAGCTTATTGAACACACAGTTCTCCCATCTTGGCTGGAGTAAATATATGATGGATTATATGTGTGTGGCTTAGGTTTTAAAAGCATCATCTGTTGGTAATACTGTGCTTTATAACAGATTGCAGGTAATTGCTGTGACTTAAGTTCTCTTATTCCTTATGCCGTGTGCCTGAACTGTATATATGTGTGTGTTTTCCACTCGTCTTACAAATGTGCCTGTAAATAACTTATATTTTACTCTCAGCTTGTATGTAAAATGTATTGTTTTATAATTGTTTTATATTTTCGTAACTTTTTCTAATGAAATATCCCTGCAAACGCTTAAAAAAAATAAATGCAGTGGTAACTGTTTAGATCACTTGCTTTATTTAACACAACTGACTAGGTATAGTCCAGTTGAACACTAACAGTAGTTGAGACAGTAAAACTCCACCTCTACAATAACCTGTAAGCCTCTTTACACTTGAGCACACTGGGCTTTTGATATACTGAATAAGAAGGAATGGGCCCAGTTCACTGGCAAAGCTAAATAACAGGGATTGGTTCTATTAAAATAAGGCTTCTGGCTATCTCTTTGTAGCTCTGCTTCTTAAAATACACAAATGAAGTAGCTAGGCTGGGTCATTATGAGAAAAAAATAGAAAATGAAGAGTAATAAGCATATTAGGATTAGCTAAAGTTGGAAAGCGATAAGCAAATTTTATTATTATATTTTGGTTAGTACCAATAAAAGCCCATAAGTTGCATTGTGACTTTGTTTTAAATCTTTTTATTGGAAAATCATGGTTAAATCCAAACCACTAAATTAGTTTCTACATTTTTTTTCAAAAGCACATTTATAGATGAAGGTCAAATAGTAATTTATTACTAGCGAGTGGTAAAATGAATTCTGAAGTTGAAAACTATAGAGTTGTCAAACTAGTAAATGGCATACAAATTTAACTGCCTAATGATGTTAGCATATCCTCCAAGAAATTCTAAGAATATGAGTATTTTCTGGGGTTTAATTATGGCTGTTTTATTTAACTGCTAGAATTAGAGAGCTTTTTGAGCACCTCAAAGTTTGAAAACTTTATAAAATCTTTCAGGATGTTATGGAAGACTTGCCACAACTTAACACCATCATCCTCTTCCTTCCGCTGCTGGCTTCATCCGCCACCTTCACTTGTATTGGATTCCCTCCCCCTCTCATCAAAGGTGGATCATCTGGGACCCATTCCTACTCAAGTGCTATCTTTTATTCTATCTTTACTGCTATGGTTCTGTCCTCTGTACACCAGAATTTGGCAATTTAGGAGGAGCCATTTAGAATTCTCAGCCAGAGACTCAACAAACTACAAATCCCAGGGTGGACCAATGGCAGTCACAGCAATACTACTGCAGGCAGTCCCCAAGTAATGAACAAGATAGATTCTGTAGTAAGTTAGAACAGGTTCATTTTAAAATGTACTCCAGTCAAGTATATATATTCATGCTTTGGATCGCATTGGGAAGGGTCAAGACCTCTGTGGTGTTTGTCTTGTTCTTTGTGCCTCTGTTCAGAAGATTTCACCTCACTTTCTGTCCCTGTGATAATTGGATTTTGAATAATTTGGCTTATGGAAACAAGGATTGATGGTAAAGTTTCAGTGGAGACACCTTTTCCCCATAACTCTTTGAGGAGAGAATTTCTCTTACTAGGAGTAGATTTATTTCACATCTTGTTGTCTCATCTTCATTCTTAACTATGAATCATTTGTAAGTAACTTGGGGACTGCTTCTACTTTATAGTGTGCCTGGGGCCTGAGAAGAATAGGAATTCCGTTGCTTTACATCTTGCCCTAATGCGGAAATCTCCCTTCTTAGGCTGATCTTTATGGGTGCTTTGGAATTTCAACATTCATGTAGAGACTGGATCTGTTCCAAGTGATACTATATTCCACAGATGCTGTAATCCATATTCTGGAACTAGTTTTTTCTGCTTGATGGAATAATGATAATCTGGGTAATTTTCCATAATTTCATTGCCACAGACACATCACATCACAACCTGGTGGGCTTTAAATTTATTGATTCCTATCATTTGTTTCTCAACTACTTGGTTTGTGTGAAGACAGTGGAACATCCTGAAAATCTCTTAAGTTTAAGATGCTCAAAAAGCTCTAATGAACAGGTGGGGATTTTTTTTTTTGTGTGTCAGGAGAGACTTGAGAAACTACAAGTCAATTCTGGTGTGAGAGAATTGGCTGTCTGCAAGGACATTGCCCAGGGGACACCCAGATGTTTTACCATCCTGTGGGAGGCTTCTCTAATGTCCCTGCATGAGAAGCTGGAGCTGACAGATGGGAGCTCACCCCATTCCCTGGATTCGAACTGCCAACCTTTTGGTCAGTGGTCCTGCTGACACAAGGGTTGAATCCATATCAGGTGGTGATAATTAAGATTGACTTTTTCTTCTCCTTTTGGATCTATTCTCAATTTGGTACCAGGCCATGAATTATGACAAGGACAGTATTTCCTCAAACAATGCTTGAATTTTGAGATCCTTGGTGGAAGTCTTTCTCACAGTCTCATTGCTGTCCCAGGCATATATGGTGAGTAAATATAAGAGACTGTGTGGTTAATCTCACCGAGTCTCCACAAGGCTGACTTCAGAATTCACCTGTGCTACACAATCCTCTGTAATATTTGGGATTATGGATACTAAACTGATAAATCCTATTAAATTACACTGATTGTGGTCCAATCTATGCTACCATATAATTTGAAACTGGCATCATAAAACAGTGTAGATGGTGTCTTAGTCTGAACAGCCAAAAAAAAAAAAAACCAAGGTTTGGTGATATTTTAAGAGTTAAACAATCATTTTGAGACGTTACTTCTTGGCAGTACACTTAACAAAGTAAGAACAGAACATAATACTTTTGTAGCTGGGGAGGAAGATACAGCTCATTTCATTTTAATAATCACAAAGGTTTGTGCTTAGGTTCTATTGAAGAAACTGTAAAACTGTTTTAAATACTAGTATGTTACAGAAATTAGAATTTTATGACAATCCCAGTGCAATTTCTTGTAGTTTTATTAAGTATCAGATAAATAATTCAGACAATAATACTATTCTCTATATTTTTATAGAAATGTCTGGAGAACAGTGAATGCTTTCATTAGTTAGTGGCATCAAATGTTGTGTTACTTTACATTAGCAGCAGTATTTTGGACAAAGTGAGGTTATTCTCAATTACATTCTTACTTGCTATCTACTGGCAAGAGCTGACAAGCAGCTATAACTAGAGCCACCAAGTAGCAGCAACTAAGTTGAAATCCAGAAAGAGCATGACAAATTATTGTTCTTATCCAGTTCTATTCTATTCACACACATATTCATCAAGATAAGGCATCTACAGTGAGATACGTTTACCTGCAGCATTTTCTGTCAAGCCTTGTTAAGATCTATTAAAATTTAAGAGGTCTCATATGCTTTATGAAGCATAAAGAATTCAAGTTCAATATGAAAAAGTTTCATGAGACCTGATTCACAGAATCAAGATTTTAAAAAGTATAAGTGCATTAGAAAGTGGAGTCCGGGTTGTTGTGTCATCTCTTCAACTATACGTATTAGAGCTTTTGGTACTACTTTGATCATAGTCGCCAATCATGTTCCTTATTGAACACAACACAAGTCTCCTAATCAACATGTTATTGTAATTGCACTTCTGCACTAACAGTGGTGCTCAAACAGATCAGCAGTTACCCATAGTTAAAAACGTTGCTCTTGTAGCCTCTCGTGTCTGACAGAAAATGCAACAAGTCTCTTATACACTACTTCCAAGAGTAAGAGAGAAAGAACAATAATTCCACAGATGAAGCTGAAAGCCCAGCGAGGTCCCAAGTGTGTGTAGAGTTGGCTGACAAAGACTGGGCCAAGTATACGGGCAGCACTTCCACAGGCAGTTAACCAGCCCATGTAAATTCCCTAAAAAAGACAAGACAACATCAATATTCATTGGGTTTTGCCCACATCTGATATGTTCAGATACAAAGATGCTAAAACTGACTGAAAAGTCCAGAAATGTGAAAGAAACCACATTTAAACAGCATTTACAATGGTTTATATAGCGTATGGCTGCCATATCTGTGGAGCACATGTGAATTCGTCAAACTACCACTAAAAGTGAACCCTATATTCAATAGGACAAACAATGGAGTCACTAAGTTGAGTGTGTTACTTGTACAGAAGGTCCTAAGTGAATAAGTGAAGCTATTGAAAAATGTAACTAAACTTTATACTAGTTTTACAGATACAAGAGATGTATTGTACATTGTGAAAGAACATAATGCTGTCATTCAGTTTAGGAATCAAGACAAAATACCACTGTATTAAGCAAGACACAACTTAGAAATCAGTTATCAATTCATTAACATCAGGTTTTTCTAGAAATTAACAAAAAACTTCTATAAATAAATAATATCAAAATAACAAATAACATTCATTTTTCATCTAGCACTAGAGTACAATAACAGCATTAGCATTCTTTTTTTAAGTTTCAGTAGTGATGGAGAAACCGTGGAGGCCGTGACAGACTTTGTATTTCTAGGTGCAAAGATTACTGCAGATGCAGACTGTAGCCAGGAAATCAGAAGACGCTTACTTCTTGGGAGGAGAGCAATGTCCAGTCTCGATAAAATAGTGAAGAGTAGAGACATCAGACTGGCAACAAAGATCCGCCTAGTTAAAGCCATGGTATTCCCCATAGTTACCTACGGATGTGAGAGCTGGACCTTAGGGAAGGCTGAGCGAAGGAAGATAGATGCTTTTGAACTGTGGTGTTGGAGGAAAGTTCTGAGAGTGCCTTGGACTGCGAGAAGATCCAACCAGTCCATACTTCAGGAAATAAAGCCCGACTGCTCACTGGAGGGAAGATATTAGAGGCAAAGGTGAAGTCCCTTGGCCACATCATGAGAAGACAGCAATCCTAGAGAAGACAATGATGCTGGGGAAAGTGGAAGGCAAAAGGAAGAGGGGCCGACCAAGGGCAAGATGGATGGATGGCATCCTTGAAGTGCTGGACTGACCTTGAGGGAGCTGGGGGTGGTAACGGCCGACAGGGAGCTCTGGCGTGGGCTGGTCCATGAGGTCACGAAGAGTCGGAGACGACTGAACGAATGAACAACAACAGTGATGGAAGAGTTAAGTATCTTCACTGGCCTCCTATTTCATGTGATGTAGCTGCATAGTAGAGGCACTAATTAACCTGGTTACTGAACTGTAAAGATGCATTAATTGTACACTTTCAAGATTGTCCAATGCACACTGGGCCCAAGACATATTGGGCACTTTGCTAGCTCAGCTATGTAGTAACGTAATAGCAGCCGTGCACTGGATACAGATGTTACACAACTGTGTAATTTTAATTCCCACAGATTAAGTTGCAATGCCCCAACAAAATTCCCACCACTATTATTTATTTATTTATTTATTTATTTACGCTATTTGTATACCGCATTTATCAGCCGTGACCGGCGACTCAATGCGGTTTACAGTAAAAGTTGTGCACACTAACAATGTAAAGACAAACATACACAAATGACACACATATAGACATCAACACCTCACATAAAATCAGATTCCGTTCTCACATTCCATTGCCGTTCCTTGTTCAGTTATGCCGTCTTCCTGGATTTAATTGCAATTGCACAGCTATCCGAACGCCTGCTCAAAGAGCCACGTCTTAACCCTCCTCCGAAACACCAGCAACGAAGGGGCCTGCCTGATGTCCGCTGGTAGGGCATTCCATAGCCGAGGGGCCACCACCGAGAAGGCCCTGTCTCTCGTCCCCGCCAACCGCGCTTGTGATGCCGGCGGGACCGAGAGCAGGGCCTCCCCGGACGATCTTAACGTCCGCCGGTTCATAGGTGGAGATGCGTTCGGAGAGGTAAGTGGGGCCGGAACCGTTTAGGGCTTTAAAGGCTAAAGCCAGCACCTTGAATTGTGCCCGGTAGCAGATTGGCAACCAGTGGAGCTGGCTCAACAGGGGGGTGGTATGCTCCCTGAGTGCTGCTCCCGTTAACAACCTGGCTGCCGAGCGCTGTACCATCTGAAGCTTCCGGGCAGTCTTCAGGGGCAGCCCCACGTAGAGCGCGTTGCAGTAATCTATGCGGGATGTGACGAGAGCGTGGACTACCGTGGCCAAGTCCGGCTTCCCAAGATACGGGCGCAGCTGGCGCACTATTTAATGTTTGCGTTACAAGTTGCTCTTTGTGCAATCAGAACTCTTGAGTAAATGAAGGTGTTGCTTTTCTAAACCTCAGTCTTCCAAAGAAAGGTGCTTGCTGGAAACAGAAGTGCTGCTACCTCATGAGGTACATTGTTCTGAAAGTTTTGCCAGTGGTATCCTGCCATTGCTGTGGAAAATTCAGGTCTGCTTGGGACAACAGTTTTAAAAAATCTGTTCTCTAGAGCAGGGCTGCTTAAACCTTTTCACCTGTAACCCCTTTTGGCCTGACATATGTTTATGGGATCCCGGGGTATATAAGTACATAAGATAGGTCTAAAACCCAAACATTTATTAATAAATCAGCATTTGCAAGGCTTACTAAACAGACAGATTTTCCTTTTTATGAAGTACAGCGGAAGTATCTTCTGTAGAGTCTACTGTAAACACTGCACAACACACTTGTGTAAATGTCTAAAACAGCCAATAGGTAGAATCCAGAAAAAAAAATCAGGACCCTAATGTTGGAGAGTGGTCCCTGGTCAAGAAAAGGTTGGGAACCACTGTACCAGCTAAATGTTTATTTGGAGTGTAACTCTTACCTGAGGCTTTGGTCCTAAGATCTTTGAATACAAGGTGTACGACATAACACTACAGGCTGGATAACCCAGACCTATTAGAATATCTGTAGTGATGTATTGACCCAGATGGATTATTGGAGTATGGAGGCACCAGGTCTGTGTAATAGGGCACCCAGTGGTTTCAACCGTATTATTGGATGGAAGCTGGGTTTGCAGTGTCCAAAACAAGGCAAGAGTTTCACTGAAGGTAGTTCTTGGAATAGAATTATTCTTCACGTCTGTTAAAATAAATACAAATTCCAGATCAAGCCACATATATTCAAGACAAAGAATGAAGGAAACTTTTAATATTGATATTTATACCTTCCCACTGGATATTAGGTAACTGCTTTCCCCAAGGTAATAAGATAAAGAATCCAACCAAGATAATCACTAGGCCTCCATAAAGTATAGCACGTTCACCAGTTCTGTTGGACAAAAAAAACTGGAGTTACAATATTCATACTTCTGTATTAAATTTGAAAATCACCTTCACAAAATTAGATCTGTACATCTGGATTTCTTTTTCCTACATAATGATAAGGAATTATGATCGTAAGAATTATCCCAGTAGCAGGGCAGTAACAGTGCATATAAAAAGTAAAGATTTTCCCTCCATATAGTAAGGAACTATTTTGGAGAACCCAATTTATGGACAATCACTTGCACTGCAGAGTTCTCCAAATCATCAAACTGTATCTCAGTCACTTACCTTTTAGAAAGGGTGTTAACTGCTACAAATACGATGACTGATTCAATACCAAGTGCACCAAGGATTATGCCATTGACAAACACTGCTTTTTTCCTGGTCCAGGAATACATATCCATTGTCAATGGTGTAGCTATGCTGGAAAACAAAGTAAGTGATATCAAAATCCTCAGGCTTTATACTTGTGTATACATCTAAAAATTATTAAAAGCAACCAACCCCAAAAATCTGTTCAGCTGGCATTTCGCTTATTAGCTGGTGTCATAAGTCAAACCCTATACACAGAAATACAGCTTCCCATGTAAGTTTTATAAAGACATGCAATATGAATCAAGAATGTGACTCCATCTGACATTCTTGTACTTATATGCTACTAGAGCACTTCAAAACCTGGAATCAAGTATTCAATGAACAATATCAAAGGAGAACCATAGGCCAGTAATATAGGGCAATTTTTTTTTATGCTAAAGGTACCCAGTTCAATCATTGGCACCACTAGATAGGGATAGAATTGTTTTGCTTGAAACCTCTACAGCTGGCATGGGCAAACTTTGGCCCTCTGGGTGTTTTGGACTTCAACTCTCACAATTCCGGCTGTTAGAAATTACGGGAGTTGAAGTGCAAAACACCTGGAGGGGCGAAGTTTGCCCATACCAGCTGTAGGGGGTCTGCATCACTACTAGTCCAGATGGGCCAATCTGATTCAATATAACAAGGCTTCCAATGTTTCTAAGTTTACTTACGTCTCAAAAACTGCAAAAACAAATAAGATGACAAAGAAAAGGAAATTTGTTGATACAACAGCCACATGATCAATGTTAGCTTGGGTTTCCTGATCCACTTCATCATTTTCTGTGTGAAAAAAAATAGTTTAAGATCAGTGCTACAGCAAAGGAGAGGCATGCAGTGAAAAAAACTCAGGTATATTCCAATTTATTACGTTGAGATTTGATCGTTGTACCTGCACATCATTCTCTACACATCCCATAACAGAAAATATAAAATTAAATCTAGAATTTGTTATATTTTAACTTGCAAGCTATAACACCATGTAACTCAATTTTTATCCTGGGTTTTAAATATCACTTCCTAATGGATTCTATCATAAAAACATGGAAACTTGGCTTTTGCGGGACATTCTGTAGCAATATTTGCTGTAGTTTTTCTATGAATATCTCCTAGAATCTCAACCAATTCAACAAAGTTTGTGGCAGCCAGAAAAACAAAACTTCTGGAGTATAACAACTACTTTCAAAGTACCACACAATTAAATAGGAATAACACTTTCATACCAGGAATAGTTTTCCCCCCAAATTTTGTTACATAGTGTAATTTACTTTGTTGACTGAACAGAATATAAATCCAGTTTCTTAATTCAGTCACAACAAGTTATAACAAGTCCTAAATGTCTTTAGCATATGAGTGATGGAGAAATGTGTAAGGGAAAACTACCCGAAATATAACAGCACATCCAAAATACAAACAGCATACTAATAGTTGAGCAACCAGCTCACAGCAAGCAGAGCATGAAGTGCCGTGTGATGTGGCTGTAAAGAATTTAGAGTTTAGGAAGGAAAGATGCAGAGTCCTGTCTTTAAAAATCACAAAAGGTTTATTTACAGTAAAAATAACTGCATTTCTTATTGGTCTGACCTACTCTAACATCCATCTCTTCTAAGTTTCTTAAGAGAGGGAAAAAAATCACCAATCGCTACATCTCTCCTGACACACAAGCAGAGAGAGATGTCAAAGCCCACAGCACATATTAAGATGAAAAGCTGAAGTCAAAAGTAAAGGCCTGCAGTAGAAAAGTATCTATTCTACACAAGCAAAATAAGAGCAGAAACAGGAGAGAAGAAATAGAAATTTCACAATGCTCTATTGTTTGTTTCAGCAGAGATGTACTGTGAGGGTTCAGTTCTGGATCCTGGTGCAGATATGTAAAAAGGTGGAGGATCGGGATTGTGGCGCAGCTGGCTGAGTGTCAGCAGCATTAAGATCACTCTGACCAAAAGGTCATGACTTCGAAGCCAGCCCGGGTTGGAGTGGGTTTCCAACCAATTGCGTAGCCTGTTGTCGACCTTTGCAACCCGAAAGACAGTTGCATCTGTCAAGTAGGAAAATTAGGTACCACCTTAAAGTATGTGGAGGCTAAATTAACTAATTTATGAGGCCATAAAAAAAAAGACTCCAGCAAGCACTCTAGCAAAAAGCATGCGGGGAATGCGGAAGTACTTCATCAGTGTCGCAGATGGAAGATGAAAGCGACAGTTCCCCTGGCGGCCAGAAAAAGTTAAATAGCCTCTGTCTATAAATAAATAATTATCTTTGCATGGCAGAAGAACTAGCACACACTAACTATGGAAAGGTGCTATAAGACTAAAGTTGCTATTATGGTAAACTGCAAGTATTTTGGAGGGAATTGAGGAAAGAAAACACATTTTAGAGACTTGTTTGAATGAATTCACTTTTTCTCTGTGGAGGAACACATGTACAAACCACCAACACTATTTGCCCTGAACCATTAGATCGCCATTATCACCTGCCAAAATTGTATCAGCTTGCCTAGAATTACCTTTTGCTTCACAGTTAATGCTATTTTGTGGCCGTCCCAAGTCGTCTACACGATGTTCTCTAAAAATAAAATTAAAAAATCATTACAATGCTTGTATACATTAATTAGTTAGTAAGACAGTACACAAGTCTGAAATAAAATCATAACATAAAAATCAATAACAAAACTGTTAAAACATAAAAGCAGTAGCATACTAACAATAACAAGAAACAACATCTTTTCAAGAAAGCAAAGCAATTTTGTGCCAATCTTAATCCATAGTCTGAAAGTGGCACAGGAGAAAATTCTTTCCCAAACGCTAACAAATCACCTTTGAGGACAACATGATGGTTAGGTATTGAGCCCTGAACCCAACTGTCTTCAACCATTGGTGTAAAATTAATTAATATATGTCAGTATGAACCTAATATTGTGAAGGTCAGAAACAATATTATTTTTAAAAGTTTTAAATGGGCCTGATATATACACTCATGTTTCACACTTCCAGTCATCAATCAGTTTAGTTACTTAATAATTAATATGGCATGAGGATCGGATCTTCAAAGGAAAGGTGGTAGTAGAAACTGAACTACTTCCAAGCTTTCAATGGTTGCTGTATTTTGATCTTTGTACCATATGTTTTGGTATGCAGTATGTATGTTATAGTGTGTGTTTTGATATATGTATTTTGTTGTATGTATTTTACATTAATTTGTTTTGACTGTGTTGTATCCCACATTGAGCCATGAGGACAGGTAACAAATAGTAAGTGACTGCTAGTGGGGGAAACGGGTTTTTTTTTGTGTCAGAAGTAACTTGAGAAACTGCAAGTCGCTTCTGGTGTGAGAGAATTGGCAATCTGCAAGGACGCTGCCCAGGGGAGGCCTGGATGTTTTCGTCTCGCAGATTCAAACCACCGACCTTCAAATCAGTGGTTCAGCCGGCACAAGGGTTTAACCTATTGCGTCAACGTGGTTCCTAGGGCCTTAGGTGAAGTCTGTCTATTCAATGGACACAGAAATATAGCACAGTTCTTGCTTGTCTGGTGTAAAAGCAGTGGTTTTTAAAAAATTTCTTTCCAACAAATGATAAGAAATACACACAACCATGTGCTGGAGATTTGTGGGTTGGGACTGGGAGAGTTAGGTGACTTGTTTGTTCCATAGGGCAGCATGGTCTTTTAATGCCACACATCTCAAACTTTTAATGTTACACATCTCAAAGGCATGCCTTTTTTTGCAGTGTCAATGCCATATTTGTTCTCAATAGCTACACATTTTTTTCTTTTTTCCTGCAAACTTATCAGAGACAGACAGCTATTAACTATCCATATACGATCATATGTTACAGTTTTCTTTTTCTTCTTCCATCTGGTGCCAAAGAAAATGAAATACAGTATACAAGAAGAATAAATACATGCATACACAAAAATGAAAGTCAAATATTTCATTCAATCTCTGTTCAGAAATAGCCTTAGTTTGCAGTTACCTAAATACAGCAACTATGAGAACAATGTTAATAATTCCTAGAAGAGCTCCAAACAGAACAGGTGCGGTGTACATGTTCACCTGGAGATGAATGGTTTTCCAAGTAAATCCGTTTTCTCCAATGAGTGTAAAAAGAGTCTGGAAAACTAACAAAAAAATTGAATTAATTACAATAGAAATCAAAGGGGGATATTTACATATTAAGATTAATTGCAGATAAACCGCTTAAAAATCTAGAAAAAAAAACAGAAGAGAAAGTATGTCTGCTTATGCAACTGTAGCTTTAAAGAAAAAAAAATATATATTACATCATACACTGCCTTGGTGGCTCAAGAAGTGATAAACACATTTCATGAATAAAGTCTTTTTATTCATGTCTAACATAAGAGAAAACCTGGTGTCCTGAATGAGGAATACTTATTAGTGTAACTTCATTTGTTCACCACTTCTCCAGCCACCAAAGTAATGTACAATGTAAACATGCTTAAAACATTATATACACAGAAAGTCCCCTTTAAATATATTTCTAAAGCCACATACATATTTTTAAGTTAAAATAGCTGAAAATAGAGCAGTTATCTCTCATTTTAAGAATGAGGAAGTAATTAAGTCATGACCAACTGTGGCCTCATCTACATTCCCTTGGAAAACCCAACTGAGACTGACCAAAGGTACTCCTGCCCACAGTAATTACCTGATGTTTCAAAAGCACCCACAAGCTATGAAATGGGTATTTGTAGCAGGTGTAACTTCATACAGAATAGGTGATATTCCCAACAATAGGTTAATTTCTTCCTACTGACAAACAACTCTTCCATCTTGTCTAGGTTCAACTTGTTCACCCACTTCCAAACTGCACTACCACCACATCCATACAATAATTCAGGACTTCCACACTTATATATTGTACCTGGTCCCAGTATGAATCCCACTGCTTGACATGCACTAGTGTTTGCCATAGCACCTGTTCGTTCGGCAAGAGAAGTAGCACCTGCAATGTATGACCGAACTACTGCTACATTTCCTAAAAATATGAACAGAAGAAAGCATGGTTAGTTGTCACCGATACAGCCTGAAATGCATCTCTTACTTAAACACGCAATACTAACCAAAGATCTGTCAATACAGCAGGCAAAAGAGTTCCTTCTTTCTCTGCTTGCTTTGCCTATTTTCAATTTCTTGAAATGTATGTAAAAGAACCTTATGGAAAGTACAAATGATATAACTGGATATATCATTTGTACTTTCTTAAAGCATGACTCTCCTCCAAGGTCAGTTATCTGCCCCCCACCTCATCCTAAACAACTTGAAGGCACACAACAAAGAGTTATATCCAAAAGTAGCAATGAGGATATAACTTGCAATACATGAAATAATCCAGACTTCAACAAAAGTCTTTCAAGAAAGCCAAGAAAACATCAGAGAAGCTAGAAATACAAAAACAGAAATAATCCAAGGTAATTCCAGGAACATGAACATAGGAAACTCTTCCAGGCAAATATCTTCGAAGTTACATAGGCAAAGACAGGAACATGAAACAAGAATCTTGACATGGACTTGGAAACTTGGTAACATGAACAGAAGACTCTTTCCCCTTTAGCTAAGTTGTCTCCTCTGAAATGCTTGGAACCAAACACCTAATTTAAGCCTGTCCAAACACCCATGAAATCATGACGGAGGCACCTGGATTTCAAGGCCTTATTTTGGGAGGCGCCGGGAAGAACTAATCTGTCTACTTTTCATGCCCTGCTTAATCTACACTTTCTAGTGACCTCCTCACCCTCCCCATCTTCCCAAGGCCTTTTCTTCAGGGAAATTTCAGTTTTACTTTCCCCGGTTGCTAAGGAATGATCTAAGGTATGTACAGTATTGGCCGGGTCAGGCTGACCTGTCTGCAAATCTCCTTGAACGCTCTCAGAATCTCCCTGAACACATTCAGACACTTCATATTGAAACTCCTCAACCTCAGAATTGTGTGGCTCTTGCTAGGTTACATTACTATATGTCGGACCCCCAACAGTCTGAGACTGTTTAAAAAGTTTGAGGACCCCTGCCTTAAAGTGATCCATTTCCCCTTAAATTGATTAATATTGGTTCTCTGAAGTCTGGCCATTTGAACTCATCTGCAGAAAAACACAACCACTCATGGTTCTTCCATACAGCATTTTTAAAGTTCTGAAATGTCATTAAGATAGAAATGGCCTTTGATGTTAATGCCCAAGAAATGTGAAAACCATTATAAATTTCCCAGCTATTTTCAGGATCTCTGTTGTCAAAACAGAGCTCTGTTCTGCATGTGTCAGCTATTCCGAGCACTGATTTAGATTACTACTAGGCACTTTCTTAAAAATTAACAACAGTCGTGGGTGACCAATCTAGTAACTGATAACGGGCAAAGCTGTAAATATATTTATTTTGAGGTTAAGTTATGAATCTTTACGCTAACAGCTTCTACACATACTAGCTGACATAGCTATACAGAATCGAGACATTTGTAAAATGTGCTTATAAGAGCTTGATTAATGTAATACCAATGTTTTAAATGGTGTATAATCTCAGATCTCCCCGTTTTCAAAATAAATTGAATCAAAATTACCTGCACCAAATCCTACCAGAGCTCGAGCGGCCAGCATGTAGTATTTGTTGTGAGAAGTGGGTAAATGGACATAAGAATAGAGGCAATTAGCAGCCACAGAAATAGTAGTTGAAACTATAAGAGGCTCTCTTCTTGGACGGTAGTTCGACCATGCTCCAAAGAAGGGGGAAGCTATCATCTGACCAATGCTATATGATGCAATAATCCAGCCAAGGAAGCTTTCATCTGCAGTTTTATCTATCTAGGGAAAAACAACAGAAAAGCAAGTTTAAAACCAGCAGCATATTTTCAGGCTTTCAACAACAGAATTAGAAGTTCCAAACAATATATAGAATATAAATATTTTATCCTTCTCCTGAAACACAGCCACTTTCTCCACTGACTAAAAGTCAAGATGTTCATTTAAACTAACAACTAACTTTCTTTCCGAGCTGCCGACGTCACCGGCAAGATGACCTCACAACCTCTGAGGATGCTTGCCATAGATGCAGGCAAAACGTCAGGAGAAATGCCTCTAGAACATGGCTCTATAGCCCGAAAAAACCCACAAGAACCTAGTGATTCCAGCCATGAAAGCCTTCGACAATACATTTAACAACTAATGACTTATTAATATCTGATGTTATAGAAATAATTTCATAAGGAACTATGACAAGTTAGGCATGTACAAACTAAGGGAAAAGGCTGGGCAATGTACATCTGGCAGGTGATGAAACACCATACTTTCCCATGGCAATATTCATTAAAATGACTGTAAGATGTTATCTTAGTTGCACCCTTGAGATAAGAATACTGATTTTGAACTTCAGACAGCAACTATGGTAGTAAGTGAATCACCACCACTTTTAAATGCATTTAGTAGTTTAGGTGAAGAGAATGAGATTTTGGGATGAAGACTACAAAACTTGTGGGAACCCGCTACAGTTTTCATATCTAAGGACACCAGCAAAGATAGCAGTTCCCTACAGGAAGTCACTTGTCAACTTTTGGTGACTTAACGATCTTAGGATATCCTTAGGCAAGGAAAACTTAAGAGGTAGTTTGCTAAGTCCTTCCTCTGAAATAAAGCCTAAAGCTTTATTTCAGAGGAAGGACTTTTGTATTCATTGGTGATATCCCATTCAAGTACTCAACAAGGTTATCCCTTCTTAGGGCCCTTCCACACAGCCATATAATCCAGAATATCAAGGCAGAACTGCTTTGAACTGGGTTATATGAGTCCTCACACTATATATTCCAGTTCAAAGCAGATAATGTGGGGTTTTATTCAGCTATGTGAAAGGGGCCTTAGTTTCCAAGAACAAACAGGACCTGGTGCTTTCAGACCTAATACCAAACCAACCCCCACTCCCATCACTGTCATTTACATTTCAGCATAACTGATCTAAATTCAAATTGTTACAAACCTTTTGAAGATATGGCCATATTGACATAATTACAATAGAAAAACCTGCAACAAAAAGAGTCAGTTATTTTGACTGCTATTCATTAAATGAAGATCTGTATAAGTTGCCCTAATTAAAAAAAAACCATGAAGCTCAAAAATATAGACAACTCAACATCCATTTAAGAAAAATGTTCATATTATTCAATTAGCTTTAAGTGGCATACGTGATCTCATTTTGTGTACTTATATTGATATCAACAATACTAAGGTAGGGAGCCTAAGTCAATTAAGTTGTCCACAAATAAATTACATATGTATCAACAAAACTTTTTGCATCATTTAATACTGAATTTTTGGTTTATGTACTGTCTGCACCAGTACCTAAGGCAGTAGTTCTCAACTTGTGGGTGCCCAGGCCTTTTGGCCTACAACTTCCAGAAATCCCAGCTGTTAGGATTTCTGGGAGTTGAAGGCCAAAACATCTGGAGACCCACAGGTTGAGAACCACTGACCTAAGGGGTTGTTAACACTTAAAAATATCTTTTCAAAGAAGAAAATTGCAACTTAAAAAACCCTTAACACAATTATATTACAATGAAGAAGATCAGTAAAATTTAGGTGCGGTCTAACCAACATAGAAGTACTCTAACCAATATAGGCAAACCACGGATTTCATTGGAATCATTCCGTCATGCCAACTTCAAAGGACTTCTCTTAACGAGGCTACAAAAACTAAATTCAGGCACGGTATGACAAATATCTCCATGATTCTCCCGAGTCAACTTGTGGCTGTTGGGGGGAAAGGGAGATAAAATCATAGAGTTGGAAAAGAGCACAAGGGCCATTCAGTCCAACCACCTGCCACACAGATATTAAAGTTATCCCTTTAGCTTTACTGCATTAGAGCATCATATAATAATTATGGCAAGAAAACTAAATTGCAGAAGCAAACTAAAGACTTCAGCATGCTTAAAGGGAAGAATTTAATTTCTAGTTTCCCGGATGAGTGCACACTAAGAGCTTATTCATCCATACCACAACAACCAGGAGAGATAAGAGACATCTCTATCACACTCCATGATTGATTTTTATGCCTATTTTATATAAGAAATCCTTGTTGTTGTTTTTTTTTTAGATTTTGAAGAATGAGGTATAGACACATGAACCAACGTGTGGAAAATTCCCATGATTTTTTAAAAGCACACATTCATTCAGAGCAATCATGAAACCAGAAAAGACAGCACTGGGTTGACATCAGTTTTACAAACCAACACTGCTGAAGAACATGGTAAGGTACATTATCCGAATGGCTCTCCATCTGCTCTTATAATGCTGTAGCGTTTCCATAACATCTCCAGATCTGTAACAAGCAATAAAGGCAATGACATCTTAAGCAAAACAGGCAACCTGTGACTACAGGTTCTTATCAGATCACTCAAGCTCCACCTTTCAAAGATGAAAACTTAACTCTAATTAAAAACTGAGTGCACAAGATAAATAAACAGGATTTACAGTACAAACAGTGTCACAGACATTGTAGGGGAAATTTCAAAATACAGCAGAGGCACAACTAAATGAAGCCCTGGAACAACACAATAATCTTGAAGGACTAGTTTAAGATCCAGCTTGAGATGACCAGTGATTTAGTAAGAAGTTATCTTAAAGTTTAATACTCTTCCAACATTAAAAGGCTGTGTCTAGTTCTGGGGACCACAATTCAAGAAGGGTATTAACAAGTGTGTTCAGAGAAGGGTGACTAAAATGATCAAAGGTTTGGAAGCCAAGCCCTATGAGCAGCTGGGGAAGCCTGAGAGGGGACATGATAGCCATGTTAATATATCTGAAAGGATGCCACATTTAGGAGAGGGTAAGTTTGTTTTCTGTTGCTCTGGTGACTAGGACACGGAGCAATGGATTCAAGTGGCAGAGAAAGAGACTCAACCAAAAGAGAGAGAAAAGAAAAGAGATTCCTAAACATTAGGAAGGATATCACAACAGTAAGAACTGTTCAACAATGGAATTTGCTGCCTTGGAGTGTGATGGAGTCTCCTCCTCTGGAAGCTTTTAAGCAGAGGCTGGATGGCCATATATTGGGTGTTTTGATTCAATGTTCTTGCATGGCAGAAGTGGGTTGGACTGGATGGCTTCTTCCAACTTTATGATTCTAAGAGTAGCCCTTATTCAAAATGCTTGTGATCAGCAGTATTTTGGATATTGTTTCATTATCCAGACAGAGGCCAAAAGGAGACCTAGACAGAGAAGAATAGTCCATTTTACAGGGAGGGGGTGGTTTGAAAGAGTTAAACTATTTCCTCCTGTTTTCTTGTTATTTCCCCCACTCACGTCACCATCATCAAAACAACCCTTGCTTATGAAATGGGAAGGGAGAGGGGATAACCAGTAAAAACAGGGGAAATTGTTTCTTTCCTTTAACTACCCCCACCCCCACCCCCACCCCCCCACACACACTAAAATCCTTCGCTGTCTAGGTCCCCTTTAGGAATCTGTTCCTAGATAATGGAACAATACCATATTTTGCACTTTGATTTATTTTTTTTTTTTAGATTTTGGAAAACCTGTCTTATGCACAAAACAGTCTAAAAACAAAATGAAACTTGAAATTTAATATATCTGTAATTATATTATTATAACCTACGGTTTTCTTATGTTATTTTATCCTGTATTGAGTTGTTTTTGACTCTGTTTATTATTGATGGCATTGAATGTTTGCCTCTGTGTATTTGTTGTGAGCCGCCCTGAGTCCCTTTGGGGAGATGGGGCGAACTATAAATAAAATTTAATTCATTCATTCATTCAAACAAAATTCATGCAAGTTTCACATACACATAGCCTGAAGGTAATTTTATACATATACACATTATGTTTAATAGTTTTGAGCATGAAACTTAGTTTGTGTGCACTTTGAGCCTCATCTGGTTGCAAAGATATGAGATAAAAATACATATAATAATAATAATAATATTAAAAATACATTTATTTATTTATTTATTTATTTATTTATTTATTTATTTATTACAACATTTCTACCCCACCTTTCTCACCACAGAGGGGACTCAAGGCAGCTTTACATACTGGCAACAATTCAATGCCCTAAAATACAATCTACACTTAAATAAATAAATACCAAAATAGAATTTAAAAGCACATTAAAACAATTAAAACATTTCAAAACAATACAAACACATTGTTCAAAAGTACAATGAACCATCTCAGCAAAAAAAGGTGAAAATTTTGGAGCATTTTGAAAAAAAAATATGAAAATAAAGTCATCCCTCTTTATTTGTGGTTTTTTATTACAAATGTTATTTCTCTGAATTCCAAGGTCCTCCAGTGCAATGTCTATAGCCTTCTTCCAGTTATGTTCAACATTTATGCTGGGAGACTTAATGCCCTTCCACACAGAATATCAAGGCAGAAAATCCCATAATATCTGCTTTGAACTGGATTATCTGAGTCCACACTGTCATATATTCCTGATCCAAGTAGATTGTGTGGGATTTTATTCAGTTGTGCGGAAGGGGCCTCATAGATTTTGAAAAAGAATATCTTTCAAGGAATCTCTTTCAAGGAACAGTGGTTCTCAATCTGTGGGTCCCCAGGTGTTTTGGCCTACAACTTCCAGAAATCCCAGCCAGTTTACCAGCTGTTAGGATTTCTGGGAGTTGAAGGCCAAAAACATCTGGGCACCCACAGATTGAGAACCACTGCCTTAGCTCAATGTTGGGGTCCTGATCTTTTTTCTGGATTCTACCTATTGGCTGTTTTAGACATTTACACAAGTGTGTTGTGCAGTGTTTACAGTAGACTCTACAGAAGATACTTCCGCTGTCCTTCATAAAAAGGAAAATCTGTCTGTTTAGCAAGCCTTGCAAATGCTAATTTATTAGTAAATGTTTGGGCTTTATACCTATTTTATGTACTTATATACCCCGGGATCCCATAAACATATGTCAGGCCAAAAGGGGTTACAGGTGAAAAGGTTTAAGCAGCCCTGCTCTAGAGAACAGATTTTTAAAAACTGTTGTCCCAAGCAGACCTGAATTTTCCACAGCAGTGGCAGGACACCACTGGCAAAACTTTCAGAACAATGTACCTCACGAAGTAGCAGCACTTCTGTTTCCAGCAAGCACCTTTCTTGGAAGTTTAAGGTTTCTCAATTCAGTATGGAAAAACAACACCTTCATTTACTCAAGCGTTCTGATTGCACAAAGAGCAGCTTGTAACGCAAACATTAAATAGTGGTGGGAATTTTGTTGGGGCATTGCAACTTAATCTGTGGGAATTAGAATTACACAGTTGTGTAACATCTGTATCCAGTGCACGGCTGCTATTACGTTACTCCATAGCTGAGCTAGCAAAGTGCCCAATATATCTTGGGCCCAGTGTGCATTGGACAATCTCGAAAGTGTATCATTATGCATCTTTACAGTTCAGTAACCAGGTTGTTGTTTTTTTTTGTTGTGCCAGGAGCGACTTGAGAAACTGCAAGTCGCTTCTGGTGTGAAAGAATTGGCCGTCTGCAAGGACGTTGCCCAGGGGATGCCTGGATGATTTGGTGTTTTTTATAATCTTTGTGGGAGGCTTGTCTCATGTCCCTGTATAAGGAGCTGGAGCTGATAGAGGGAGCTCATCCACCTCTCCCTGGATTCAAACCTGTGACCTGTCGGTTTTCAGTCCTGCCAGCACAGGGGGTAAACCCACTGAGCCACCGGGGGCTCCGTAACCAGGTTAATTAGTGCCTCTACTATGCAGTTTCTTAAACTGGGTGTCCCAACTCCAAATGCGGTCTCCTCAACTCAGTGGTTCTCAACCTGTGGGTCCCCAGGTATTTTGGCCTACAACTCTTAGAAATCCCAGCCAGTTTACCAGTTCGTAGGATTTCTGGGAGTGTAAGGCCAAAACATCTGGGTGCCCACAGGTTGATAACCACTGTTCTGATTCATTTGAGTCCATTTTATTTATTTATTTATTTACTTTGCTTATATACCGCTGTTCTCAGCCCAGGGGCGACTCACAGCGGTGTACAATATAGGAACAACAAAATTCAAGACATAGTATAAAAACAATTCTGGCCCCAGAGTGGCCGTTGGTGTTGGGGGAGGGGCGCTGATGTCACAGGGGACAAGATGGCAACGTCCTCCTGGCTCCCCTTCTTTATTCTGGCCCCAGAGTGGCCGTTGGTGTTGGGGAGGGGCACTGATGTCACAGGGGACAAGATGGCAACGTCTTTTTCTGTGGAAAGTGACCACAGAGTTGTTCTAGAAGACCTAGAAATTCTGAGAAAAGCGTTCTCTCAGGTAAAAATAAATGGCTGCAGATTAGTGGTTCCCAACCTTTGGGCCTCCAGGTGTTTTGGACTTCAACTCCCAGAAATCCAGGCTAGTTTGCCAGCTGTTAGGAACTGTGGGAGCTGAAGTCCAAAACACCTGGAGGTCCAAAGGTTGGGAACCACTGTTGTAGACCAGTGGTTCTCAACCTGTGGGTCCCCTGATGTTTTGACCTTCAACTCCCAGAAATCCTAATAGTTGGTAAACTGGCTGAGATTTCTGAGAGTTGTAGGCCAAAACACCTGGGGAACCACTGCTGTAGACGATAAAGAGGTCTTTATTCAGTCATCATAGAATCAAAGAGTTGGAAGAGACCTCATGGGCCATCCAGTCCAACTCCCTGCCAAGAAGCAGGAATATTGGATTCAAATCACCCGACAGATGGCCATCCAGCCTCTGTTTAAAAGCTTCCAAAGAAGGAGCCTTCACCACAGTCTGGGGCAGAGAGTTCCACTGCTGAACGGCTCTCACAATCAGGAAGTTCTTCCTCATGTTCAGATGGAATCTCCTCTCTTGTAGTTTGAAGCCATTGTTCCACGTCCTAGTCTCCAAGGAAGCAGAAAACAAGCTTACTCCCTCCTTCCTGTGGCTTCCTTTCACATATTTATACATGGCTATCATATCTCCTCTCAGCCTTCTCTTCTTCAGGCTAAACATGCCCAGTTCCTTAAGCCAGCTCCTCATAGGGCTAAAATTACAACTGCACAACAGTCATGCCCACATCTCCCCCAGCTTTAAACCCCTACCTGCTTCGGTGTTCGTCCTCAGGCCCCAATAAGGGCTCCTCCAGCCCTTCCAGCACAGGCTCCATCACCGCCACGGCCATCTTCCAAACACCCGGAAGTCAAGGCGAGGCCACGCCCATTATGCTAATGAGGAAAACCTTCCCACGCGGTCTGGAACCAATCCGCAGCGACGCCTATTCTGTCTTTAAAAGGCACGCCCCTCCGCGCATGCGCAAGCACACCTCCCACATAACAGGTCACGTGACAACAACCGCTCTTCTTCTTTCTTGACGGTGCTGATCGCGTGAAGCGTATTGACGGTATCTGATTGGTTGGAGGAAGTGCGTTATTTTTTTTTCTCCCCTGCCTTCAAATCCAAACCTCGTTATGTTTTCTCGCGATGACAGCAGCAGCGGTGGCGGCGACCTTCTCGCCTCGCTCCTTGTGGCGGGACGGCGGAAAGCCCTGAGGGGAGAGGCCTGCCTCCCTCCCTCCCTCTCTCCCCTCCCAGAGGAGGCTCTTTGGTCCACCTCGGGAGCCTCAGGTTGGGCGTGAAGCTGAGGCGTCTCTCCGCCAAGGGAAGCGAGTGGCCAAGCAGCAGGTGAGGACACAGAAAGAAAGAAGGCTGCTCTGCCATCCGTGCCATAGGCCTCCGCACTCGAGGATGAATGAAGTTTGACATCACCTTTTCTGCCAATGGCTCAATGCTATGGCATCCTGGGATCCAAAAGCTTTATTAGGTTTTGAGCCGTCTTCTCTGCAGTGAGCCGTGGCAGTTGAGATTTCAAACTGTGTTAAATCTACTGTGTAGATGGGCAAACTTCGGCTCTCCAGGTGTTTGGACTTCAACTCCAAATAGTCTAACGCAGTGTATTGTCGAAGGCTTCCATGGCCGGAATCACTGGGTTGTTGTAGGTTTTTTCGGGCTGTATGGCCATGGTCTAGAGGCATTCTCTCCTGACGTTTCGCCTGCAAACATCCCCAGAGGTAGTGAAGTCTGTTGAAATTAGGAAAATTGGGTTTATATTACTTACTTTACTTACTTAGGCGATCCCTCGTTGGATGAGTAGGATAGTCTTCCAGGATCAGTATTCTTGTGGATCCATAGGTGACTGTGGAGCCCTATTCTTGACCTGCATCTTCTCCCACAGTGAGGGCATTGGTTTCCAGGTGGAAGGCGGTCCCCGTCGGGGTTGGCTTGACACGCCTTCCTCCTGGCACGTTTTTCTCTTTCTCCCTCCACTCGTGCCTCCTCGAATTCTGCAGCACTGCTGGTCACAGCTGATCTCCAGCTGGAGCGGTCAAGGGCCAGGGCTTCCCAGTTCTCAGTGTCTATGCCAGAGTTTTTAAGGTTGACTTTGAGTCCATCTTTAAATCTCTTTTCCTGCCCACCAACATTCCGTTTTCTGTTCATAAGTTCAGAGTAGAGCAACTGCTTTGGCAACGGTGGTCAGGCATCCGGACAACGTGGCCGGTCCAGCGGAGTTGATGGCGGAGGACCATCACTTCAATGCTGGTGGTCTTTGCTTCTTCCAGCACGCTGATGTTTGTCCATTTGTCTTCCCAAGAGATTTGCAGGATTTTCCAGAGGCAGCGCTGATGGAATCGTTCCATGAGTTGCATGTGACGTCTGTAGGCAGTCCACGTTTCGTAGGCATAGAGCAGGGTTGGGAGGACAATAGCTTTATAGACAAGCGCCTTGGTATCCCTACGGATGTCCCGGTCCTCAAACACTCTCTGCTTCATTTGGAAAAATGCTGCACTCGCAGAGCTCAGGCGGTGTTGTATCTCGGGTTTATATATTTGTGGAATGACCAGGGTGGGACAAAGAACTCTTGTCTGTTGGAGGAACATGAAAGGCACTGCAGACTAATTCAACCAGAGAAGTCAGCCATAGCAGAGCACCTGATGAACCAACCTGGACACAGCATTTTATTTGAGAACACAGAAATGCTGGACCACGCTCACAACCACCTTGTCAGACTACACAGAGAAGCCATTGAAATTCACAAACATGTGGACAATTTCAACAGAAAGGAGGAAACCATGAAAATGAACAAAATCTGGCTACCAGTATTAAAAAACTCTAAAATTACAACAGCACAACAACAGAGAGAAAACAAACAAGGACATTAATCACCTCTCAACAAAAGATTGCCCCAGGCACTGCCAGGCCATCAAATGCTAATCAAGGTGGCCAGTTGAAACATTCACACCTAGCTCCAGCAGACAAGAGTTCTTTTGTCCCACCCTGGTCATTCCACAGATATATAAACCCACTTTCCTAGTTCCAGCAGATCTCACTACCTCTGAAGGTGCTTGCCATAGATGCAGGCGAAACATCAGGAGAGAATGCCTCTAGAACATGGTCATATAGCCCGAAAAAACCAACAGTCTAGTGCAGTGATTCTCAGTCTTCCTAATCCCCCCTTAATACAGTTCCTCATGTTGTGGTGACCCCCAACCATAACATTTTTGTTGCTACTTCATAACTGTAATTATGCTACTGTTATGAATCGTAATGTAAATATCTGATATGCATGATGTATTTTGTAAATTTGGCACAAACATCTAAAACACTCAAATCTCAATACTGGAGGTTGATTTTGTCATTTGGGAGTTGTACTTGCTGGGATTTATAGTTCACCTACAATCAAAGAGCATTCTGAACTCCACCAGCAAGGGCATTGAACCAAACTTGGCACATAAAACTCCCATGATCAACAGAAGATTCTGGAGGGTTTGATGGGCATTGGCCTTGAGTTTTGGACTTGTAGTTCACCTACCTCCAGAGAGCACTGTGGATTCATGCAATGATGGGTCTGATGGACCAAACTTGGCACAAATACTCAATATGCCCAAATGTGCAGCCTCGTGGAGTTTGGGGAAAATAGACCTTGACATTTGGGAGTTGTCGTTGCTGGGATTTATAGTTTGCCTACAATCAAAGAGCATTCTGAACCCTACCAACGATAAAATTGGGCCAAACTTCCCACACAGACCCCCCATGACCAATAAAAAATACAGTGTTTTCTGGTGGTCTTTGGCGACACCTCTGCCACCCTCTCATGACCCACCCAGGGATCCCGACCCCCAGGTTGAGAAACCCTGGTCTAATGCTTAAGCAGCTGAAGTGGAAAAGGAAATGGCCTCAGGCTGTTAGGAATTGTAGGAGTTGAGGTCCAACACATCTGGAGGTCCCAAGTTTGCCCATGCCTGGTGTATATGTACCCACCGTTAGAATCATAGAATATTAGAGCTGGAATAGACCACGTGGGCCATCTAGTCCAACCCCTTGCCATTCAGGAAAAGCACAATCAAAGCACCCCAGACAGATGGCCATCCAGCCTGTTCAGAAGCTTCCACTACACTCCGAGGCAGAGCGTTCCACTGTTGAACAGCTCATACAGTCAGGAAGTTCTTCCTAACGTTCAGGTGGACTCTTCTTCGCTCTCAAGGTCCTTCCACACAGCCATATAACCCAGAGCAAAATTTGCTTGAAGTCCCCAACATCCGGACTTATTATCTGTCCTCTACTAGGCAGAGAGCCTTCTCAATTGTGGCCCCTTATTTATGAAATGCCTTGCCAGTTGAAACCCGAACCTTTCTTTTCCGACAAGCTTTCGATGGGTGAATAACTCAGAACTATGTCGGATTTTTATTATTATTATTATTATTATTATTATTATTATTATTATTATGTGGGATTTTATTCAGTTGTGTGGAAAGATTCCTCGTTTCAAGGGCAGCAGAAAACAAGCCTGCACCCTCTTCCTTATGACACCCTTTCACTTGTTTATACATGGCTGTCAAGTCTCCTTTCGACCTTCTCTTCTGCAGGCTAAACATACCCAGCTCTTTAAGACACTCCTCATAGGGATTCATGGTCTCCAGTCTTTGGATCATTTTAGTTGCCCTCCTCTGGACACCTTCTAGCTTGTCAATATGCCTTTTGAACTGTAGTGCCCAGTACTGGACACAGTATTCCAAGTGATGTCTAACCAAAGCAGAATACAAAGGAACCATTACTTTCTTTGATCTAGACCAGTGGTTCTCCATAGGGTTGGCTTAGAATCTATTCTTTTTTAGTTTTATTGCGGCATTACTGCAAATATACTTCTGCAATGAATCACCAAAATTTTGCTTTTCCAGTCCTCTTGCTAAATTAAGAGGGCTAAGGAGAAAAAGTGGCGAGTGGGTGTAAAAAAGACTTTGTACAAAGGATTTTTAAAGCAGAAGCTTTGTTAACAGATATATCTGTATCTAGGTGGTTTTGCAGTTTTGCAGAAATGGACCGTCCTGGTAAGGGTGTAAGGGCTAAACTGATGGAAGGCTAATCCACAATGCTTTTATGAAACACGTTGTTGTATGCCTTCATGTCAGTTCTCATGTATGGCATATGGTGAAGCTATCATTACAAGATTTGTTCAGCAGAGGATTACCTTTAGCGCTTTCTGAGGCTGAGAGATTATGACTTGGTCATCCAGTGAGTTTTCACAGCTCAACAGGGATTTGAACCCCTTTCTCCAGAGTAATAGTCCAATTCTTAAGCCACTAAATCATTGAAACTGCTCACACAACAGTATATGTATTTTTCATGATTTCAGTTCATGTGAGAAATTGTCTCTCTTTATCCTTTAAAACAGCAGATACATCAAATGAAGAGGCTTAACAAGATCGGGCTAGAAAGATCTGCAGGTATAATGAATCAATAGCATTGTACTATAACTTATGCGGAGGGTTGTCAGCTACTCCTTGAAAACCTTGTTAGATGTGTGGGGAAGGCACTGGCATAGAAAAATTAAAAGCATTCATTTCTTTCTGTTCATAAATTATGTGACTGATTTTACTACTTTCAAGATAGTTGCACTATATTTCTTATAAATAACTGCTGCCGTTGTTTGCATAAGCTATTTTAGCAAAGTACTGTTATCAGCAAGCATTGCTCTCTTCTTTATTGCTGATTATACAACTGCATACAATGTTCTGACCTTCAGTAAGTCACAGATGAATAGGATGTCCAAAACATGACTAATACAGATTCCTATGATGGTTATAATGAAAGCTGTCATATTCATTACCCACTTTTCTATTTGAAGACATCCTTACAGCATCCTCTGATTATTAATGCATTTATTTAGTCTTCATGATATTCTAAACAAAAACATAATAATAATGCAATACTATTCTTTGTTGATCCTGGACCTATTTTTGCAGATATGTCATAAATGCTACCAAATGTTTTGTTTTTGTTTATCTAAACCTAGAATATTAAGGAAAATGGTACGTAATTAAGGAAACATTTGAGTTTGTGACCACTGGGAGTGCTAATATAACATTTATTCTGCTTTTGGCAGCATATCACTTCCCTAGCCTAGTCAGTGTACAAAGCACATGTGATGCTTCAGTGGAATTATACTGTAGAAATGGAGAGTGTTTTATTTATGCAATAAAATATTTCTACAAAATCTAATCAAATTCCCTATGGTTTAAAGTAACATTATCATGCAAATGTAAATGGTGAAGTAGACATCACAATTAGTACAAACTTGCAGCCGTCCACAGGAATTCAATATATGGCCTGTTTACTTCAGTAGGATATACAGCTGAATATGTTCACAGTTACAGCACTGGAACTTAATAGTCATAACTATTTCTTGGACTCCTGAGGTTCTGAAAGCCTTTGGGAAGTCACTCCTCATAGTGAGTATAACTATGTCTGACAGTAGCAAATATTGAGAGTTGGCTGAATGGTTAGTCAGAACTAGTATAGAGGTATGCTGTCTAGCAAACTTAAATCTCTTATTGTCCAGACCTAAAGGATATTAATTCCTTAGTTAATTTTTCATGCATTGTTGTACAGGTTAAGTGTCTTTAAACTAGAAATCCAAAATACTCCAATATTGTCTACAAGGACGAGCAAAATAGTTTCATTCACAACATTATTAAAATAATTGTGTATGAAGTTATTTTCAGGCTATGTATCTAAGTACTATATGAAATAAATGAATTTTTCGGTTTAGACTTGTGCCTTGTCCATAATATATCTTATTGTGTATATATACAAATATTCCAAAATCCAAATCAATACAAAATTCAAATACTTTTAGTCCCAAGCATTTTGGATAAAGGATACTCAACCCCGTACTTTCAGGCAGCCGGAAAAATAGCTATTTTAAAAGCTGTCAGAATCTTTCATGCAAGTAAGCTAATCATATGATCCTTTTTTTGTTTCTAGACACAGGCTTGTTATGAGGAGCAATGAGCAATGTGGTAAAATGAGAAGACAAATGGCACTGGTTAAATATTAACTGAGCAATTACACTGTGTCAAAGGGTAAAGCAGCTTAGTGTTTGCTTTCTCTGGCACACAGTAAGTGAATATTGAAGTGCTACAGAAATCATTACAGTGGGCCCTTGGTATTCACTGGGGTTTTGGTTTCAGAATCCACCATGTATGCCAAAATCTGTGGATGCTCAAGTCCCACAATGTACAATGTCAATGTAAAATGGTGTCCCGTATATGACATAACAAGATCAAGGTTTGCTTTGAATGTTATTTATGTTTTTATGCCATGGATGGTTGAATCTGTGGATTCAAAATCCATGTTTACAGAGGGAAAACTATTTCATATCTGGGTCAAGAGAAATTTTACTTCCCCTCCCCTGTGCATTAATAGAATATTCTTTTAATTTATCGGCTTCTTTTTCTTTTTTTCAAACAAGATCTAATTTATTAGTATGTTGCTGAACATCTAAAAAACATAGTGGCACTGTTTAATATAAAATTCCTATAACAAAACCTTCTAGTGTTTAAGTTTTCCATGGCCAAAGGACAAAATTCCAAGCCTCCATCTTCAACATGGAGAAAACGCCCCTTTCAGAAACCAGTTCCATGCAAAATTGCACTTTTATGGTTTATGAAATAAGAAATAGCATGCAATTTTTCAACAAGACATGTGGCAGCTGTCTCTCCTTTTTCTAGATGTGTTTTACTAATGGGTGTGAGCAAGCTAGATGTGTTATACAGACGCCTTCTCCTTACTAAGCTCTTCATTCAAGGATGGGGAAGACCAGAAGATCTGAAAAGGTGAATTGTATCATGTTATAACTCCAGTGTTAAGTGTCCAAGTGTTTCTGTTAAAATGATCTCATGTCATAAAAAACATACATGTGTCTTCTGCTTATTCAGTGGGTTAGGACCAGAGCACTGTCAAAAAATGGAAATAATTGAAATGTGGAACCGAATAATATATATCCTAGTCTTAATAGGCACGTAGATATAATTATCACTGTTGTTATATATTACAATATATATTATAAGCACAAACATTACATGTCCAAATATAGTACTATGTGAATACTTTATTTTATATACAAATACTGTACAGTAATGTATAAAGGATACACAGCTCGAAAACCAAGATTCATCATGAACAACTGAGTAAAGCAGTGCCTAGTTGCAAAAACGTTTGCAAACAGTAATTAAAAAGCAGACTATGCATTCAACATATGGGTTCTAGATAGCATTTAGAATGATCAAAAGAGTATGTTATTTTAAAAGCAGGTAGTCGAAAAGCAGGGGACACCTGTATTTATGGATTTTGTCTGAAATATCTGAAGCTTGTTTTCTCTTTTTTAAATAGAATATTTGAGTTCAGAAAGCTTATTGGAAACAGAGAAAAATGTCAGAATTTGGTTTCAAGAGACTATCCAGTGCATATTAACAAGGTATTGAAACTAATGAATATAACTGTAACTTAAGATTCTATGTTTACCTTAAATATGAATATTATTCTAAAAATACTTATTATGTATTGCAATTAAGAACACTATCTACATAAGTAAATTAGTATACATTGGCAATATTCCAAACGTGATTTTGTAAATTTTGTGATGGAAATGGCTATATTAACCATTTATTTATTATATTTCCTCAAAGTCATGGGAGATACCCTACTGTTTTGGGGATATAGGAGGTACTTAATGAAATCAGACCTTGGGTTTTACACTATCAGTTTGCTTTGGAACTACCTTACACTTTGAAAATGATACTACTGGGATCTCAGGGTAGCCGTAAATTCCTTTATGTGCTGTTAGGTTGTCATTGAGGGCAAACACAAAAGAATATTAAACAGAAGCTTAGCATGCATAGAAGCATTGAACTGGTATCAAATAATGAAAGGGGGTCTCCTTCTATTAGATAATATACAAGATGCAGTATTTACTTGTATATAAGTCAAAGACATGTTTCTCTTAAGTACAACCTTTTAAAAATGGTAGAAAAAAAATTCATCTTCCCTTGCCAATTTCCTTTCCTCTTTTCCAAAACTGCACTAACAGCATCAAAGACAACGATACATTTTTTTTTTTTGTTTTTGAAAACGTCTGAGGAACTAACTGGAAGCCAGAGATTTATTAGGTAGTCAAAGGTTCCAACCACTTTGGAAGTGCTATTGTTATTGAGCATCATACCCAGTTAAGAAATGTATCTTCTATTTCTGTTGTGACTTCCCAATTGCCTCACACTTAGCCTTTTATTTCTCCAAGCTAAAAAGTTTTGTTTGTAGTTTGAGTCGGGGCTGGGCCCGTTGAACTAGAATGTACTGAGTCCAACTCAAGATGTTGGCTTTTAAAAGACAGAAATATTATATTCCGTGCCTCCTGAACTGTATTAGTCACTTGTGTTAGTTCTTTCAAACAGCTTTGACTTTTGTAATCTATACTTGAGACAATTTCACACTGTTAGCATTTCTTTCCACCAAAGATACATATCTGATAACTACAGTAATAATATCACAATTTTCTCTAGGTTGAAGAGCAATCAGACTGTAAGATCCTTGATGGACACTTCATTTCCCCCTTGGCTCATTATGTTCCAGATATCATACCATCAGAATCGGTTACAGCAAGGTAAGAGCAACCACAGCAAGTTATAAAATTGCTAGCAGATTGAAATACGTTGCTAACAATTGCTTGTTCCAAGGATTCTCAGAATGCATAGAGTGCAGATGGGAGCCTCTCCTGATTGTATTGAGTTCTGATCCGCGAAGGGTCATAATTTTATTATGCTGGCTGCAGTTACATCTCAGTACATACCTTATCTATCAGTACAAGAAGAATAGAGTTGGGGCAAGCTCATATATTCCAACCTTCCCTCTTATTCTTTTCCTGTTAAGACTTCAAGTATTAAACCACTTTGAGTCATCCTAGGGGTGAGAAAAGCGGTATATAAATACTGTAAATAAATAAATAAATAAATGGGGAAAGGTGGTACATCAATCTGTCCTGTTATTGAGCAAGGTGCATATGGCTTTTAAAGTTCTGTCTTTATAGTCATGCTGGGAACAGCTAGTGCAGTCACCCTTAATTGCATATGCTGTCAGAGGCTTTTCATTTTGTTGCATTTGTATGTAACCTTTGTTCCAGAATAGGACCCACTATTCTGGCTTTGAGTGTGCACAGACAAATATTTAATATGTGAAGAAAGGCTTAAATCCAGTGTCAATTTACCAAATTATCATAAACACATAATATAATTATTATTTGATTTATGTCAAGACCCAGGCAGACCAGCAAAGCAAACGGCATTGTAAGAGTTAAATGAAGGTCTTTAATGTCTATTAACAAAACAAAAAGAGGCTCTTAAAGTCAGAGTTGTAAACACAAAAGGCTTGCGGTCAGCAGGAATGTAAACAAACTGGTCTCAGTCAGTCTTTGCTGGCAAAAGGAAAGCAAGTCTAAACAGAAGCAGGCAGCTTGGATTCAGCAGTAAAACTCAGTCCGTTTCAAAGGCAAACAAAACAGCAAACAGCAATCCGCATGAAGAGCGGTCCAACGAAGGTTCCAGGGATTAGCAGAGGCGTAGTCAGGCAGTCCGAGGGTCAAGGCAAGGAAGACTCACGAGTCTGGTTCCGGCAGGGTTGTTCACACGATCAGGAAACACGAAGCTGCAAACAAGAGCTCACGGCAGGAGTTAAACACAAGGCACACGGTAACGCGACACTTTGAACTCTGCGATCAGTTTGTCCCCAAACTGCTCCTTAAATCTCATCAGAGTCGCTGGAGTCACTTTCAGCTGCGTCTAATTCCACAGGTGAATCCCGGCTGCGCCATTGTTGCCAGTCAGTACTTCGGGCTCCATCCTGCAAAGTATTATCTGCAACCCAAGTATTATCAAAACCCTGGAATTCATCACTAGAGGTGGGAGCAGTAATCACATCCATTACTTCCTGAACTTTAGTCCAGTCCAGCTCTTCCTCTTCGCTGTCAAACTCCCCACAATCAGCTATATCTCTAAGGCGTTTAGCAACAGATCCCACATCGCTATTCGAGCTGCTGGCTACTCTCTTTACACCTCTGTAATCTTCCAGCTCCATTTCCTCGCGAGTAAAACCCTCAAAATCCTCCTCATCCGTAGTCTCTAAGAACAAGTCTCTAATCCGTTTCAGCTGTTGCTGAGCTTCTTCATCCTCTAAACCACGTTTCCTTCTACTACTAGTAGTAGGTGCATGAGACAAACGCTGAGTCTCAACAATTTATATCCCACCACCATCTCCCAAAAGGGACTCGGGGCGGCTTACAGAAGGTATTCTCTCTTGGGAAAGACCAATTGCAATGAATTCAAAGTGACCAGTAGCAATTCTCATTATTTCATTACCTTCAAAGTAGGCTTGTGTATTTTGGCTTAACCTTGATCCATTTCTTCTTGTCAGATACCAGAAGCCCCCCCCCCCCCCCAAAAAAAAAGCCATTTTCTTTTGCCTCCTGAAAATGGATGCATTGCCGAAAGAGCATTTTTGTTCTGCATCTAAAAAAGCTACTCCTTTCAACCCATTGGTGGCAGTGGGGAACTTACAAAGCTCCTCTTTCCCTTGGGAGCCTTTGCTTTTTTCCTTTCAGTAGAGCCTGAGTGTCAGCAACAGGGTTAAGAAATCACCCTACCAGCCCATTAAAAAACATCAGAGTTAAGATACCACTCTTTCTGGATGCTTTACCTTCTATTTATAGAGGAGACCAGGTTTAATGCTTCTTAAAGCTGTTTCTACTCTAGAGGAGACAAGCTTTCATGCATGCTTTCTCTCCCAGCACCATAAGATAGCTTTCCAAGGCATTTTAAGGAGGCCCAGGTAATGAAGAGCGATGATCTGTAGCTCAGTGGAGTTAACTATTCTCCCTGGACTACCTTAAAATCCCCTCTGTTCTCTCTACTGCCTTTAATCTCCTTTCTGCTTGGCATTTTGCTTCCTTAAAGCTGTTTCTACTTTCTACTCTAGAGGGAGAAGTAGGCTTCCCTTTTTGTTTGCTGGGATTACTATTTATTATTATTATTATTATTATTATTATTATCTTTTAGAAATATTTTCTGAAGGAGAGGAAGGGAAGGAGAAAAAGAAGGTAAAAGAGTGATTCTCCAAGCCCCTAAACGTGCACGCACCCCACCACTGTCTTTCAGTTCCCCAACTCCCAGTCAGTCCCACTAAATAAAAAGTATCAGGAAAATAAAGGAAAATCAGAAAGATTCAACTGTGATGCTGGATAGGGGAGGAGACGTGATTGTCTGCTATGTTGTCCTATTTTGGATGGGAATCCGTGACGGCTGGCCCCTTGCCGTTTTGGGCACCAAAATAAAATGGATAAGCCAAATGGCCAAAGGGACTGACTAAAAATGGATCCCTGCACAACGATACTTAAAAGTAGCCTTTCCACTCATTCATTAAGTAGAAAATTATTGTTTCGTTGAGTAGAAAATTTTGGATTCCACTTTTGGACATCCTTTCCAAGTTTGGAAATTATTTTGATAAATTTCCTGTTATACGAAAGCTCACGATATACACTGTGCATGCTAGGTTTATGTGTATTTATTGTGAAAATGTGTATTCTTCCACCAAGCTTTGCAAGGTACCTGAAAGCACAGTATGGGTTTAGTAATGTGACCCTCAGTTCAGATTCCTCTGTAATGCTGTTAACTTTGCTTTATACAGATTAATTTCCAAGAATTGTCTTCTTTTTGATAGGTTTCAGTTTATAGTACCAAAGAGATGGAACAGCAAATATAGACCTGTGTGTATTCATTTAGCTGGCACTGGAGACCATGTAAGCAAACAGAATCACTCATGCTTTTAAAATAAACCTATTGCATTGGTGGTATTTTGCTTATCCCTATTTAATCTTTATTTTCTAGCACTTCTGGAGAAGACGTACTCTAATGGCCCGTCCAATGATCAAAGAAGCATGTATGGCTTCACTGTTGTTAGAAAATCCATATTATATCCTTTTCATTTGAAGAAGTACAGTCCAACATAAGCATATTTAAAGAAATTTCAATATTTAGTAACACCTTTATTTTTCATTTTTATTTACAATGCCATAGCATCATATACAGTATATATAGGAAATATATTTACATTACCTGTGAAAAATCAAACCTAATCAATAAAGAAAAAATAATTTCCAAAAAGTTATTAAAACGTTAATTACTTTTGACCCACCCTGTATACGTTTTTGCATGCTCTGTTTTTAAAAAGGAGCAAACCACGGACTACTTACTACAATGCAGTCTGAGCCCCACCACGTGCACAATGGAGGACCTTCTCACAGCGACACCAGAGGCACTCCAAGTGGCCAGATTCTGGCCAAAGGAAATTTAGTATGTCAAGTTTTTAACTTTGCTTGTGAGATATATACACACACAGACATACATACACACACACACACACATACACAATTCACTCCTGACACAATAAATAAATATACAAATAGGTATTTTATAAAAGAGTTTTAACACTGGCCCATAATCTAATATGTTCTAATATGATTAATTTTGGTTGAAAAGAAATCAAATTAGGGTTAAATATTATGTGTGGAAATATTGCCATTCATATTTCTTGAGTAATATGTTGCCTCATATATATGTTACATATATACGTGTGCGTGTATATATGCTTAAAACGTCTTAGAGATATTTTGTTTCAGTGGTTGTGTTAATAGAATCTGGATACTTCTATCTCAAATGCCCTGTTTTTAAAAAAGTGGGTAATATTATGAAATTATCAAAGTGAAATCAATGGGATAATAGTTTGTATAAACCTTCCTTTGAACAGGTGCCATGGCAGATTCCCATATCACATCTCAAAATAATTCTAGAAATCAGTTTAAAGAGTTTTCTTGAGACTGCTGAGAAGCAGACTCACAAGTATTTGATCCCAGACAATCTCCAAATCTTGTTTAGAAAAACCAATAAGAGAAATCATTCACATTCCCAAATTAATGTGGCAGATTTTTATTTTGTATAGGTCTTTAAATGAAACTGCAAATCCTTTTTTTGTATTATGTAAACTGCTATACTGTAATATCCTGGATTCAACTTTGTTTATTTGTGAAAGTACTCATTTAAATTGTGATTAGCTCTGTTTAGTACGGGGAGTACCAAATTGAAGTTATTAGAAGTTAAAACAACGTTAGAATATTAACGTGCATTTTTATTCGATTTAAAAAAATTTAAATAATAGAATGTTATTGAAAATTTGAAGCCCAGAATATATATATGTATTTCTATATTAACTTCTTTGACTCACACATATACATGGCTGCAGAAAACCTAAAGACCAAATGTAAGTATTAACTGTATTTTACTAATTGCCTCCTTTTCTCCATCTTTAAATATTTGACAAGATTTGTACAGACAGTGCTTGCCTTAGCCTTCCTCTGTAGCAGAGAGCCAAAGTCTTTGAGTCTCTTTTTTGCAGAGAAAAAGTGGGGTATAAATAAACAACAGTAACAACAATAAGGTCATCCAGAAGATTTTCAATAATAAATTTGGATTTGAACCCTGGACTCCAGAGTCATAATCCAACACTCAAACTATTACATCACACTATCTGTATATCAGTAAAAATAAAAATGCACCTCCAAAATAAATTGAAATGAACAGGAACAATTGACACCTATACTGAAAGTTCTGACAAATCAGGGTTTTCCTTCAGCTCCAAGTTGTGGAGCTATATTTGTAGTATTGCTTTACTTTTGCCACAGCTGCTTAACTTGCTGTATTACTAAGGGGAGGAAATCTTTCTCTTTGGCGAGTAGTATACAAAATCTGTTCAAGGTTGTAATAGCACATATTAGCAGTGAAGTAATTCTGGATTGCACATTTTATCCAACAACCAATGGTAACAAGGCTCACAGCATTTCACCTTTGGCATGTATTTCTACAAGATCTGTATGCTATGGGTTTGTGTTGTTCTGAAACAGTTTGACAGGAAAAGTGGACAGATTGGGTTGCTGTGAGTTTTCCGGGCCGTATGGCCATGTTCCAGAAGCATGATCTCCTGACGTTTCACCCACATCTATGGCAGGCATTCTCAGAGGTTTTGAGGTTTGTTGGAAACTAGGCAAGTGAGGTTTATATCTGTGGCATGTCCAGGGTGGGAGAACGAAGTTGCATCTGGTCTCACAACCTCTGAAGATGACTGCCATAGATGTGGGTGAAACATTAGGAGAAAATGCTTCTGGAACATGGACATACAGGCCGGAAAACTCACAGCAATCCAGTGATTCCGGCCATGAAAGCCTTCAACAACACAGTGGACAAATTTATTGATCCCAATCCAAGTTTGGCAGCTATTATTGGGCTAATTGTCTCTGATCTTTTCTTTCATTTGTTTATCATGTTTTAACATGGGTTAGAGTTGAAACTTCTTTCATGAACTACAGGAACTTATTTCAAACTCCAGAAAAGGGTATTCCACTTATACATTTGGAAGAACTTCCTAACTGTGATATCTGTTCAGCAGTGGAACTCTCTGCCCCGGAGTGTGGTGGAGGCTCCTCCTTTGTAAGATTTTAAACACTGGCTGGATGGCCATCTGTCAGGGATGCTTTGAATGCGATTTTCCTGCTTCTTGGCAGGGGGTTGGATTGGATGGCCCATGAGGCCTCTTCCAGTTCTATGATTCTATGATGAGTATGGGTTTTTAATGCATCCTTTCTGAAAAGTAAGTGTACTTTTCTTTATTTGGGAGGAAAGAAGATCATGTCTAAAAAACGTCTCTGACCTGTTTGTGATGGGAGGAGCTCTTGTGCTAGAATCAGCAGCTCTTTTACACTGGTTGGAGAGAGAAGGCTATGGACCCCTTGGGATGACTGGAATATCTATGGGAGGACACGTAAGAGCTTTTTAATAATAGTCAAAGTAGTAATTCTAATGAGGTTTGCTTATGTTATTTAGTATTGTATTTATACTTTTTAGATTACCGTACAAGTTTTAAAGTAAGCAGCAGTATGTGAGCCACCCAATATATAACATTGATAAGAAAAATAAGATGTACAGATTTGGATATCTCAATTTCATATTCTATTAGAAATAAAATTGTAAGTTTGATTGAAAGCCTCTTAAATTTCAAGGCCATGTCACAATGCTAATTTCCTTTTAGAGTTATAGCATGATCCCCTTGTCCACGGGACCGATATCAGTAGTTTCATTTATGCATGTTTCATCTTTCAGCATTTTCTAGGTCCCTCAGTGCAACTCTATGGTATTACTGGACCAGAAGTCCTTTATTTCAGTAAATTCACTATTATCTGTGAATAGCCCTTGGTGGTGCAATGGGTTAAACCCTTGTGCCGGCAGGACTGCTGATCAAAAGGTCAGCGCTTCGAATCCAATAAGTGAGGTGAGCTGTCAGCCCCAGGTTCTCATGAAAGGGCATAAGAGAAGCCTCCCACAGGATAATAAAACATCTGGGCGTCCCTTGGGCAACATCCTATTATCTGTGTTTTTGTGTATCTGTGCAAAGTTTGAGAATGTATCTCCCATAGATTCAGGGATTGCACTGTGTTAGTAAATGTTATTGATATATAGATCAGATTATTGTTAATGCAGTGTATACAAAACCAATATGGACTGAATCCTATTAAACCTAGATTAATACAATAAAATGTAGATGCTGTCCAGACAATAACAAGTAATATCCATCCTGATACAATGTTTTCCTTTTTCACAGATGGCATCATTAGCCGTGTCAAACTGGCCGAAGCCATTACCACTAGTTCCTTGTCTGTCCTGGTCTACAGCCTCTGGTGTTTTTACCACGGTAATTCATTTGTAGTTAATAATGGATAATGTTAAGTTGAAACCATGAAAAGATTCAAAACTTTAAAATTAGAGATCGAATATGTTAATCTTAGAATATTTTAATCTTAATCTCAAGGCAAATGCTAATGTTGTACTAGTTCCCGCTATAGCCCTTAGGACGTCATGATAATTGGGTCTTGAGGATTTCTTATCCTCACAGAGCAGGTTTTAGAGGACCAAATGTAGCTGCAGTGGGGTAATTACCCCATCTTGCTTCTATTGGATGCTGCAGTTCAGTTTTAAACCTGCCTTTCATGTCACTGAGACAACAATAGAGTTTATCCTTTATTTTAGCTCTGGGGACGAATTTAAAAACTTGCTCTAGTTCTACAGTAATGGTATGGGAGTCAGAAGACTGAGAAATAAAAGGCCAAAGGCTCATGGATGAAAAATGCTTTCATATTTCTGTAATCTCTTTTTGTTTGGTGATGGCTCAGAAAACGTCAGGAAAACATAATCATTGGGAGAAGAACTTAACAAAATGACCCTCTTGAATATAAATACTGTATATATATATATATATACACACACACACACACACACACACACACACACACACATAGTTTAAGAAATCTATCATTGCTTCATACTACAGTTTCCAGTCTTTAGTTGTGCATGAAATAACTGCCTATTTATATTCCAGGGTGTGCTGAGCAAGGCTGTGAACTGGAGAGAACTAGAGAAGCAGTATTATACGCAGAGTGTTTATGAAGAAGAAATAATTCAAATGCTTGAATACTGTGGAGTAAGTATACCCTCCTTATTTTCAATTTATTATTAATCTTAAACTGTATTTTAAAAAGGTTCAATATTACAATGCTCAATCACTTTAGCAAAAAAAAAAACACATTAAATATGAAGCCTCTGGGATTTTTACTACCTCTGTGCTATAAATTAATTTCACACTTGAGTACATCAGCTATTAAGTGAAAGTGATATCTTCTTCAAGTTTGGGACAGAGTAACTAGGGTACCAAACTGGTCAAATGGTTCTATAGCTTCTTAGCTGTAGCACTGACATCAATTAAGACAAAAAGAAACCCAAAAAACAAAAATACCAAGCCAATACAAAAATATTTCTATTTATGTATTGCTGGTGTATGAAAATCTAATCTTGGTTACATATCTTCCGACTTTTTCATAAGATGACACAATAAAATAATATTGTATAAAACCATTTCCAGGGTATGTCTATAATTGTATTATGAAACATAAATGGATGTCATGTTTAGACATGGGTCCCATCTCCAAGATAGCTCAATCTGTACAAATATGCAAATACACCTGTTCCAGAATCCAAACAAATATGAAACCCAAAACACATCTGGTTTTGGAAAAGGGGTACTTAACTTGTGTAGTGAGGTTTATAAATATGCTTTAGTTGGCCTCAAGATAACAATTGAAAATAGTAGTAGCAATTTTTCAAACTGCAATTAAATAATAAAGCTGAAAAACATCTTCGAGACCACATCTCTTTCTATGAACAAGCACTAAGATCTAATGGGGAGGCCCTATTCTCGGTCCCACCCCCATCTGAAGTGTGGTTGGTGGGGACGAGAGTGAGGGCCTTCTCGGTGGTGGCCTCTCGGCTTTGGAATGCCCTCCTGAGGGAGATCAGACTAGCCCCTACTCTCCAAGCCTTCTGTACACAATTGAAGACACTTTTTTCCGACAAGCCTTTGACCATACAGTAGAGTCTCGCTTATCCAACCTTCATTCATCCAACGTTCTGTATTATCCAATGCAGTCTGCCTCCTACCCAGATCCACAGCTGTTCCAATATATTGCAATGTTGTGCTGCTAAATTCGTAAATACAGTAATTACTACATAACGTTACTGTGTATTGAATTGCTTTTTCTGTTGATTTGTTGTAAAACATGATGTTTTGATGCTTAATTTGTAAAATCATAACGTAATTTGACATTTAATAGGCTTTTCCTTAATACCTCCTTATTATCCAACATTTTAGCTTATCCAACGTTCTGCCAGCCCATTTATGTTGGATAAGCGAGACTCTTCTGTATTTATATTCCCTTAATGAATATACATGAGGACCTATAGATTTTTTATCAAGCACTTTACAATACTGAGACTGATTACTGTTATTTACCTGCAGCTATCGCTGTATTTTATTGATTTAAACCAGGGGGCATTGTGAAGTTGTGATGTTTATGCTGGTTGTTTATTGTTTTATGTTGCTATGTTTTTTCATTTTCTGTATTTTGTGTGGTTGCACCTTTGAGTGCTTTGTGAGCCGCCCCAAATTCCTCTGGGAGATGGTGGTGGGGTACAAATAAAGTTGTTGTTGTTGCTGTTGTTATTAAACCATGGGGCCATATGTGTGTAGGCATTTTCACCACAGGACTTTGTGGTGAGATTTCCCCCCCCCCCCTCTTGTTTGTATGCAGGAGACAAGTTTGGTAAGTGATTCCCGGTAGAAATTAAATCATTTTTAATAAGAGAAACTCAACATTTAAGACTAACAATTTTACCGTATAAAACCAAAGAGCTGTTTCGAACATGCTGGCAGAGCTACCATATTAGATTAATGTCTTGTCTAGTTGGTTTTTTTTTAAAAGAAAACTTAAAAACTGATTTAATCGATAATTTATACATACATTGACATTTGTGAAACATGCCTTAATTGAATAGGTATTTCTGTTTAGGCAGATTCATTCAAGATGGGACAAGACTTTGTTAAAAACTCCCCCAGCAGTGTGGACAGTTTGAGCCATCTGGATCTGAATTCCAGTGTGCTGAACCTCGATATCAGAAGCGAAGTTCTGTCTTCAGAAGGCTGTTGCTCCCTTAGCTCTAACAGGAACACTCTAAGTGCCTCTGCAGAAGGACTGTTAGTGCAAGCGGCACCCAAAATGCAGTGCATAAACCAAACCTTTTCAACCAGCAGCAGTAGCAATAAGAACTTTTCCAATGCGGAGAAGAATCTTATAAGTGGAAAAAGAGATCGCTTGCAAAGAGAATCTTTAATGTTCATGAAAGGAGTGATGGATGAATGTACCCACGTAGCTAATTTTTCAGGTATATATAATTTTTAATACGAGTTTTAACATTTCTTTCTCTTACCATTTTCCTGTACTTACTTCAGCCCTATCTAACAATATTTCCTTTTGTATCTTGAGCAGTCTTCCTTAAGATTTTTTTATATGCTTTGCTAAGTAATCACCTCTGTGCACACATATCTCTTACATTTGAAGTTCCTCCTCTCTTACACACTTATCTCACTCCTGCTTCCTGCTTGCCGAGCAGGACTAAGAGTAGCTGATAATGAAGACAACATAATGTTTTTATAAAATGTTGTTTGAAGGATAGCATGATCACTAGCAGACTTAATGCCAAAAGAACTAACAGGCTCACTAAATATTTTAATAAATTTTAATAAATCACTAGTAGTGTGATGAAGGAGATTTCTAAGGCTCAACTATAATATATTGAAATAATAGGGTACAGCATCTCATGTGTTTGTTTGCTACTTACAGGAAAGATATATAATGCTGAAAACAGACTAAACGGTGAACCCCAAACTATTATACAGGCAGTCCCTGAGTTACAAATATCTCACTTACAAATGACTCGTAGTTAAGAACGGAGGGCGAGATAGCAGGAAGTGAGAGAAATCTACCCCTAGAAAGGGAAATTCCCTCCTGAAAGAGTTATCATGGAGAAAAAAGTATATCAGCTAAGGCTTTAACACCAATCCTTGTTTCCTCCAACAACCCAATTATCACAGGGACAGAAAGTAAGATGAAATCTTCTGATCAGGGGCACAGACAGCAAAACAAACTCCACAGGGATGTTAACCCTTCCCTGTACTATCCAAAGCTAAAGAATATATATTTCGGGTTGGAGTTACACTTTAAAAAGTACCTGTTCCGACTTATATGCAAATTCAACTTAAGAACATATCTACAGAACCAATCTTGTCCATAACTTGGGGATTGTCTGTACAGTATATTATAGTTTTATATTATTAGTACCCAGTTGCCTTTGACATTATCCAGAGATGATTAAGGTGATTTCTCACTCAGTGGGAGTACAGTGCCAATTCAATTCAGATTATTCTTTATGCATGTATCTTTTTCTATATCACTCTTTCCGGTAATTGGCAATACTACTTCAGCAATTAAAACCAAGCCTATACTAGACAATTGCCATTTTTTGAAGAAAATACTTTAAATCTTTACAGAATTAATTCAGCAGTTTTAACAAACCTATTTCAAACATTGCCTCTAAAACGAGAACATAGTTTCAGGATGTTTTGCTTCTAATAGCATATTTTGTTCTCAGTTCCAGTTGACCCAACACTGATCATAGTTGTACAAGCCAAGGAGGATGCTTATATTCCAAGAACGGGAGTGCGTAGCCTGCAAGAAATATGGCCAGGATGTGAAGTCAGATATTTGGATGGAGGTCATGTTAGTGCCTATCTCTTCAAACAAGGATTATTCAGGTTAGACATTCAGAGAAAGCGGTAAATAAATGCAACTTTTGGTTAATGTGAGTTTTCCGGGCTGTATGGCCATGTTCCAGAACCATTCTCTCCTGACGTTTCACCCACATCTATGGCAGGCATCCTTAGAGGTTGTGAGGTTTGTTGGAAGCAAGGCAAGTGGGGTTTATTTATCTGTGGAATGTCCAGGGTGGGAGAAAAAAACTCTTGTCTGAGGCAAATGTGAACGTTGCAATTGATTGCCTTGATTAGCATTGAATAGCCTTGCAGCTTCAAGGCTTGGCTGCTTCCTGCCTGGGGGAATCCTTTGTTGGGAGGTGATTAGCTGGCCCTGATTGCATGAAATGCAACTTTCATGCTGTAACAGTACTGTATTTCTTAAGTGGTAAGTATGGATTTTCTGTAGTGGCACTCCTATCCACATTCACTGTTTCCAATTATGTGAACAAGCAGAGTTGAGCTTTGAGCTCATGTTTTTTATCTCCTGGCTTGTTTCAATAGATTTCTTCCTGAATTTTGATGTAATGATAAACCCCAGTTTAACAAATAAATAACTTTTTGTGGATAAGTTATTCTGGTGTCCAAGGCAATTTGGAAAGAAACCATCTCAAACTCTAAGACTGACAAATGATTTGAGAGACTTGTGTATTTAAATATTCTCAAAGTATTTTTTTTTGTTAAACACTGAATTTTGAACGTGTAAATCATTGTTATGCTTTCATTAGTGGAATTAATACTCTATTTCTTTTCTTTTTAGGCAAGCAATATATGATGCATTTGACCGTTTTCTAAGGAAATATGCTGTGTAGTCCTGTCTTGATAAACTGTTGAGTGTCTTTTATACACGGATTTCCATGGTAACATCATACTGAGAATAAGCCTGCTATAAATTCAGTTCAAAGTCACCAGCTTGATGGATTATTCAACAGTGATTAACACATTAAAACGTAATCCCTAAAGGTTAACTTTGAATTTGCATTAGTCATAGTTACGGCGATTTTAGCACAATTTGTTAATGCTGAGAATGTCTGAAAGTTTGTAAGATATTTATTACTTTTGAAAAGTTATTTTATTTGGAATGTCCACACATCCCTTGAAGAAGGACCAATATAATATTGAAGATTGCTTAAACTTCTTGTCCCAACACATCATTAGAAGTTCAAAGAAGTAGTATTAACAATATGCAGCGTAGCTTCTGGCAGTATACAAACTAGATTAATGTTAACTGGCTTATTTAAAGCTTTATTCCTAAAACAATCTATGTCATCTCAGAAAGTAATGAGTGATTTGATGCAATCTCTTGTGTAAACTGGTTGAGCCACACATGTTCCATCATTGGTTATTAAAAGAAAAGGACTTCTCAGTATCCAACTTTAATAATTTAAAGCAGAAATATAATAATTCATTTTTAAATAATATTGAGGTAGGATAGAGGAAAGACAATGGGCATATCTGTCCCAGAGAATTTATAAAACCTTTTTATTTAATTAGCTGAACTGCCCCACTGGAAATAAAAATAAATATGGAGCCTTCCAGACATATTGCATGTGTTAATGTTTTGATAAATGTTTCCTTTCTAAACACATACACAAAGCTGTTTCACCTGGTGAACTGGAATTTTTTTTATACTACCACACATATAGTGTTAATTTGATAGATGTATATCTGGCATCCTCAAACTGTGGCCCTCCAGCTGTTGGGGCTTCTGGGAGTTGGAGGCCCAAATGAGCTTGTTCAATTGTCAGGAATTCTGGGATTTGAAGGCCCAAACAGCTGGGGAGCTGCGGTTTGAGGATGCCTTATAGATTCAATGATAAAAAGTTACTCTTCATGATAATAATGTCAATCCTACTTAAAAATTTGGAGAATTACAAATTAAATTTATATTGGGTTGCTGTGAGTTTTCCGGGCTGTATGGCCATGTTCCAGGAGCATTCTCTCCTGACGTTTCACCCACATCTATGGCAGGCATTCTCAGAGGTTGTGAGGTTTGTGGGAACAAGGCAAGTGGGGTTTATATATCTGTAGCATGTCCAGGGTGGGAGAAAGAACTCTTGTCTGTTTGAGGCTAGTAATTGATCACCTTGATTAGCATTGAAAAGCCTTGCAACTTCAAGGCTTGGCTGCTTCCTGCCTGGGGGAATCCTTTGTTGGGAGGTGATTAGCTGGTCCTGATTGTTTCTTGTCTGGAATTCTCGTTTTTGAGTGTTGTTCTTTCTTTATTGTTCTGATTTTAGAATTTTTTAAATACTTGTAGCCATTTTTTAAAAAAAATTTCATGGTTTCCTCCTTTTTGTTGAAATTGTCCACATGCTTGTGGATTTCAGTGGCTTCTCTGTGTAGTCTAACATGGTAGATGTTGGAATGGAAGAAAAACTAGGGGAATTCCAGACAAGAAACAATCAGGGCCAGCTAATCACCTCCCAACAAAGGATTCCCCCAGGCAGGAAGCATCTAAGTCTTGAAGCTGCAAGGCGTTTCAATGATAATCAAGATGATCAATTGCAGCATTCATACTTGCCTCCAACAGACAAGAATTCGTTTAGTGGCACTATATAAAGAAGAAACCTATTCCTACAAAGTGGTAAAGAATATTGGATAATGGCATTGTCTTCTGGCAGAAGACAGATCATTAATCCATTTCCATGTTTTTCTTTCAGTGTGATTACCTTTCACACTCTCGTCTGTTTGGTTTTGCTTTCACTGCATTTTCCTGTCGATTCTCCCATTTTCATAGAATATTAATTCTAGTAGGGGTTGAACAGTCTGCTTAGTTTGATCATAGGTCCCCTGCAACCTAATAATTCTTTAGTCATCCTCAAAATTATCTCTGCTTTTTGACTGATAACATATATTGCCCTAATTCAAGTTTGCCTTGGGCAAGCAGAAGTGCCTTTCTGCTGTGTAAGACACCTTCAGATCCACGCTGTTTTGTATATTGCACAAAATTCAAAGTTTATATATAGAAGGTTGAACGCAATTTTGTCAAAATCTTTTAAAAGGGAGAGAAGTCATTGAAGCATGTCTTAATGTACCAAAAAGGCAAGCAGCATTCATTTTTATATGTTAATGAGTACTAGGTACTGTCATTTCCAAGTAGATGCCAAACTTCTTTTATAAACTGAACGATTTATTTTATAATAAGAGGAAGTGTATATGGGTTATCTATAAATTGGCCAAAAGTTTATTTGACAGTATTGTGCCCATTGCATCAATGCTGTAATTGACTCATTTGCCTCGAAGTTTTGAGTAGATAGTATGAGACTGTCTGTTATCAAGGAATATTCTTGAAAGAACCAAAACCGAAAGTATAGACCTCTCAAAGACCAAATAGAAGTGTTCACATTTGAGAAGCTGTATGAAATGGAATTCCAGGTTTTAATTACACTATTGTTCATACATCATGAAGAAATACAACATTGTTTCTTGATGGACTGTATGTTACAGTACAAGAAACATTATCGAATTGTTAAATTATAAAGTCCACTGAAATTATTTCTCTTATCAGTTTTGTGTATCCATACCTACAGCCACATGAATGTACTTGCTATTTCCTTTGGACATGTTTTGATTTTTAGACTTCTGGAACACTGATGTAAAAATTTTGAGGAACATTTTGATGAAAGGTATCTGCCAAAATTGATAAGCACATAATGCCTTTTCTTGATGGCACAACAGCATGTTCTTAAAGTGGAAGAGTAATATCTCTGTGGTGGGCATCCTGTTGGTCAATGCCAAATAGAGTAAAACCATTCAGTCAGTTGCTAAAATAGTGAGTCAACATGTAGGTAAATCCAATTATAATTAAAAAGGTGTATTCTAACCAAGAATAACAAGAGGATTTAGGCCTACATCTGATACAAAATTTCTTTGCAGGTACAACTACACTAGTCAACTGGAGACAGGGCATGAATGCTTTCGCAAGCCAACTCATAATATCCGCACCAGAGATTAAAATTGTAAAGCAGAAGTATGTTTTGACTGAATGCCTTCACAAACTTTCCTGCATTCTGAAACACTGAATATGGTTTTGGGGAGCATCAAAAACCCTGTCTAAACATACCTTCATTATATGAAGATAATTAAGATATGTATTGTGATAGTCATGGGTATGTACTTCCACTTCAATAAAATGTTTACAACGTAATTCCTCTTAGCTTAAAAGGTATTCTCTGTGTTACTACTATTCCCCCTTCACGGATTGGTAGATAGTCAAGGAGAGGCTAACAAAGAATGTGTCGCCTTATGAGTCTATGTTTGAAAGTCATCTGCTTTCAATAATTTCTTTCTTACTAGAGGTGGACTAATGTGAAATGAAAACGAATTTCCAAATTATGTATGCTTTTTATTTGATTGTATTTTATATTTTCCAATAAAAAGCTTGCAATGTTTAACCCTTTTGTGCCGTTACTCTGTATTGTGAAATGCTTTCTTGTATATTAAGGTGAGAGTTATGACTCTCCAGATTTTGTTTTGGTAATCCTAGCCAATACAGCCAATTGTGAGGAATGTTGGGGGCTGCTTTCAAACAATACTGGGAGGGCTGAAGAATTCTTAGATCACTACATTGCCTAAATGCTAGGCCTCAATGAAATTTATAGAAGTGAATGACCAATCCAAGCATACTTATGCCTGACTGGCTAAACATTTGGGTTATTTTAAAATTATTTATTTATTATGAAATCTGTTTCAAGAAATCGGACAGTCCCAACCAAGAATTAATATCTCCAGGATAAGCAATTTAGGCCCTTTTTACAGTGCCATATATATCCAGATTTGCTTTCAATTGGATTCTATGGCTGTGTAGGCTCATATAATCAAGTTCAAAGCAGATAATGTGGATTATTTGCTTTTATCTGGATTATATCGCAGTGTAGAAGGGGTCTTAGTGGTTTACAGATTATTCAACTACAGTTCTTTCACCATACTGACCACGTCTGTCCAGGGCCGGCCCTAGGTAATTTTCAATGGTAAGCAAACATTATTTTGGTGCCCCCCCCCAAAAAAAACCCCAAAAACCAATCACTGAAAAATAAAAGGTAGAGGTGAATAAAGAGTTACCTTAAAACCAGAAGGTTACTTACATTATGTTCATATAGTTACATTACATAGAATTAACACAAATTAATGTTTTTTAAATGCAAATATTTTATTAAACTTGGCAACGATTTTAAGTTTTTGTTGTTATTTTTGATCTACAAGTACGACACAAAGTTTTCACAGAAAATACAAGATCTTTGCATTATGACAATTCCGCTGAGACAATTGAAGACAGAACAGCCCTTAATACATACATACATATACATACACATACATACGTACATGCACACACACACATATATTAATTTATTTGGAATTGCAAATTGCAATGCATTCCATCACACACACACACTTAAATAAATATTGTGTGTTTATGGAACGAACGGCTTCCATTCTGCAAGGACTTCTTCTGGAATGCATAGCAATTCCAAAGAAAATAAAATATTTTGGACAACGACAAGTAAGTCCACTGAGACGACTAAAGATAAATAACCTTATCTATATAAATAAAAATATAATGTTCGTTTGTGGGATTAACATAACTCAAAACCCGCTGGACGAACTGGCACCAAATTTGGCAGCAAAACACATACTAATCCAATCTATGTCTGTCAAACAAAAAAATCTCTGGCTGCTTCTCATTACTTTATTTTGCATACCACCACACTACCCCAGGGTGCTATTATTATTATTATTATTATTATTATTATTATTATTGAGAGTCTAAATGGCCATCTATCAGGAGTGTTTTAATTGTGCTTTTCGCTTATGCCAGAAGGAAGTTGGATTGGATGGACCTTGGAGGTCTCCCTACTTTATGATTCTATTACTATTATTAATAATAGTATTATTATTAAGCAGAGTCTCTATGGCCATCTGTTAGGAGTGCTTGGATTGTGTTTTTCCCTTATGGCAGAGGAAGGTTGAACTGTTTCAACTGACCACCTTGATTGGCAGTGCCTGGGGCAATCTTTTGTTGAGAGGTGATTAGATGTCCTTGTTTGTTTCCTTTCTGTTGTTGTGCTGTTGTAATTTTAGAGTTTTTTTAATACTGGTAGCCAGATTTTGTTCATTTTCATGGTTTCCTCCTTTCTGTTGAAATTGTCCACATGCTTGTGGATTTCAATGGCTTCTGTGTAGTCTGACATGGTGGTTGTGAGAGTGGTCCAGCATTTCTGTGTTCTCAAATAATATGCTGTGTCCAGGTTGGTTCATCAGGTGCTCTGCTATGGCTGACTTCTCTGGTTGAAGTAGTCTGCAGTGCCTTTCATGTTCCTTGATTCGTGTTTGGGCAATGCTGCATTTGGTGGTCCCTGTAGACTTGTCCACAGCTGCATGGTACGGTAGACTCCTGCAGAAGTGAGAGGATCCCTCTTGTCCTTTGCTGAACGTAGCATTTATTGGATTTTCTTGGTGGGTCTGTAGATAGTTTGTAGGTTGTTTGTAGATATATTAACTGTGGTTTGCATTTCTGCTTGGCAGAAATGGAGGCTGTACTAGATTATTCTTTGGGGTCCCTCTTGGGGATGCTCTAAAGCAGGTAAGGGCAAACTTTGCCCCTCCAGGTGTTTTGGACTCCAACTCCAATTTTGCCTATACCTGCTTTAGAGCGTAACCTTTGGGCCTCCCATTCCCAGAAGTCCTCGCCAGAAAGTCCCATAGTCAGAAATCCTGAGAGCTGAAGTCCAAAAACACCTGGAGGGCCCACAGATTGTGCGGAGAATAGAACACATACATACACAGCGAGAGAGAAACACATTTATGGAATGTGATCCAAGGTCAGGAACAAAGAGGCTTTCGTTCAAGTTAGGACAAAGAGCCACACAGAAAGTATACTATTCAGATAAAGGCACTCATTGGCTTTCCAAACCACCAAAACGTAGCTTGTAGTAGTAAATACAAAAGCCTCTGGGAGTAAAAACCTCCAAGGTTGAATGGCATTTCCCCTTTTGCTGCTTAAGGTGGGTAGAGAAGCTTCCCAACTAGTCAAGTGCTAGGTGGTGATCTACTTTCCCTCCCAGAGGCTAGGCAGGTATGGTCAAACGCTGGCCCTCCAGGTATTTTTGCTGTTGGTTTTGACTCCTGTTTTATATTATGTTTAATGTTGTTTATGTTGTTTTAAATTGCTGTTGATGCACTTTGATGTGCTATGTTTTAACTTTGTTATTTGGGCTTGCTCCATGTAAGCTGCTCTAAGTCCCTTCAGGGAGATGGAGGCGGGGTATAAAAATAAAGTTGTTGTTATTGTTGTTGTTGTTATTATTATTATTATTTTACTGACACAAAAGCACAGTATGTCACAGCAAACGAGATCTATATGCTGGAATTATTATTATTATTATTATTATTATTATTATTATTATTATGGACTTCAACTCCCACAATTCCTAACAGTTGGTAGGCTGTTAGGAATTATGGGAATTGGAAGTCTAAAACACCTGGAGGGACGAACTTTGCCCATGCCTGCACTAGAGGGAAAACTGACAGGAAGAGAAGCGTGGGTTTAGGATGCTGATTGTTGCACCTTGGGAACAACAAGGTAGATAAGAATATCTAAAATACACTCCCATTCCTCTTGAGTGGCACTGCCTTTTGGGGATTGCCTGTTCCAGTTGGTAAAACTAAAGGGTTTCCCCTGACATTATGTCCAGTCGTGTCCGACTCTGGGGGTTGGTGCTCAGGGCGGACTCAGGGGGACTCAGGGCGGCTTACAGGAAAGGCACAATTAGATGCCCAAAACACACAACAAACAATACAAAATATAACAATTCAACAATTAAAATAAAACATCAATACCTAATAAAATCATAAAAACTATCTCATGTCAGAGTCCATATATCAGAGTCCATATATCCATTCCATTCCATTGTCCTTGTCTATCGACAGGTCCTTTAGTTAGTTGTCAGCATGGCCAAAAGCTTGGTCCCACATCCAGGTCTTTAGTTTTTTCCTAAACGCTAGAAGGGAAGTCGTCGATCTGATCTCCCCGGGGAGTGAGTTCCACAGGTGGGGGCCACCACTGAGAAGGCCCTGCTCCTCGTCCCCGCCAGCCTCACTTGTGCCACTGGCGGGGTCGAGAGCAGGGCCTCCCCAGAAGATCTTAAACTTCGAGGTGGGATGTAGAGGGAGATCCGTTCGGACAAATACACTGGGCCGGAACCGTATAGGGTTTTGTAGGTCAAAACCAGCACTTTGAATTGTGCTCGGAATTGGATCGGCAGCCAGTGGAGCTGACGCAACAGGGGGGTGGTATGCTCCCTGTACGCCGCTCCGGTGAGCAATCTGGCTGCTTCTCGCTGGACTAGTTGAAGTTTCCGAGCAGTCTTCAAAGGCAACCCCACGTAGAGTGCGTTGCAGTAATCCAACCGGGATGTGAACAAGAGCGTGGACCACTGTGGCCAGATCCGACTTCCCAAGGTACGGGCGCAGCTGGCGCACAAGTTTTAATTGTGCAAAAGCTCTCCCGGCCACCGCTGAGACCTGGGGTTCCAGGCTCAGCGATGAGTCCAGGATCACTCCCAAGCTGCGAACCTGCGTCTTCAGGGGGAGTGTAACCCCGTCTAACACAGGCTGTAACCCTATACCCTGTTCGGCCTTACGACTGACCAGTAGGACCTCTGTCTTGTCTGGATTCAATTTCAATTTGTTAGCTCTCATCCAGTCCGATACAGCGGCTAAACACCGGTTCAAGGTCTGGACAGCCTCCTTGGTGACAGGTGAGAAGGAGTGACAGATTTGGACGTCATCTGCATAGAGATAGCATCTTAGTCCGAAACTCCGAATGATCTCTCCCAGCGGCTTCATGTAGATGTTAAATAACATTGGGGACAAGATTGAACCCTGTGGGACTCCACACAACAACGGTTGTGGGGCCGAACAGGTGTCACCCAATAACACCTTCTGGGTCCGTCCCTCAAGGAAGGATCGAAGCCACCGCAAAGCAGTGCCTCCGAGCCCCATATCCATGAGGCGGCCCAGAAGGATACCGTGATCGACGGTATCGAAGGCCGCTGAGAGGTCCAGCAGAACTAACAGGGACACACTCCCCCTGTCTAGCTCCCTGCGTAGATCATCTACCAAGGCGACCAAGGCTGTCTCAGTTCCATGTCCCGACCTAAAGCCAGACTGTGCCGGGTCTAGATAATCAGTGTCTACCAGAAACCCCTGGAGTTGTGTTGCCACCACACGTTCCATGACCTTGCCCAAATAGGGGAGATTGGAAACAGGCCGATAGTTGTCGAATTGAGTGGGATCCAGTGATGGTTTCTTCAACAGCGGTTTTATAATAGCTTGTTTTAAGCTCGCTGGAAATTTTCCCTCCTGTAAGGAGGAATTAACCATCACCTTTACCCAC